GAAGCCAAGAGGCAATCCTAGGAAAGTAAGAGGCTTCAGCTGCTGATATCTTTCCAGATGAGCTACAGCAATCTCTGTTGTACTTGGTGCAAAAAGTCAGGCTTCAGAGGCAGCCAATCACTGATTTGCTGTGTGTCTCCAGACAAGTCTTTTTCCGTCTCTGAACATCAATTTGTGCCATAATTAGGTCAAAGATAAGATGCTTATTTGATGAAGAGTGACTTACTGTAGTGAGGCTTGGCACAGAAATGTCTTAATACCTAAGTACTTAAACACATTCATCTTTCTTGCTTCCTTCCACTTCAACCAGCAGCAAAGAATCAACAAAGACAATGCCAGAGACTTTGCAGCAAGCGTAAGTTGCTCTTTCTGTTAGGTAAACAGAGATGTAGCCCTGCAATGAAGCGTCATCAAAATCACATTTGATGAATGGACAATATATTTAATAATTTATAATCACACTAATGGAGCAGCTGATGTCTGTGGACATTTATAATGTATCAAGCACGCGACATTGGCACAGCGACCCTGTGGGCTAGGTGCAGCCAAGCCCAGCTTGACAAGTGTGTGACCAGCACAGGCACACAGAGGACCTTATGCTCAGGGCTTATAGTTCTGTAGCGGCCATCTCGAGATTCGGAATCATTGTATCTCTGAGTGTGCTTTGTGTGTGAAAACAAAGGAGTGTGCGTGGGGTTATATACAGCCTCTCTTCACACAGAGACTTGCCACTTGTCACCTCTAAACTTCCATCTCTCTGAGATCAATTGGCAGGTGCCTGCCTGTTCCCAGCTCCCCAGCCACTCCCATCTTCCTGATCCTGTGGGGCCTCACTGTAGGAACCCGGAGAGGAAGGGAGGGTGTGTCTGCCCAGTCATAGGACAGGATCCTAGAGCAATCAGTCCACCCTCTGTGTGCATTTCATATCACCAGGACAACATTAAACGGAGAACAATAAACAGTTTGATGGCCTGAGAAAATTATAATAAGAGGAAAGCTTGTCTCCCCACTTTTTTAAATTAATGCTTGCCTGACATGAAAATGTATTATTCCTCACAATTTATGTACCTAATTATGAGTTCTGTTAATTAGAAGTACTTGACAGAAATAGATACTGAAGTTCAGAGAGGCTCAGTGATTTGTCTAAGATCACACACCTAAGAGGGTTCTAAAGTCTTGAAGAGCTTCAGCCCAGGAATTAGGAATCCTGCATCCAACTTTGTGGCCAGAATCCTAGGCATGCTGTCCATTCTCATCTTTCCCGAATGAATGTCCTCCAGGGAGTCCTCCAAGGTAGCACAGTTCTCAGGTGTGGCTCTATCTGGCTCAGGCTGTGATTTTGACTGCAGTGATCTTGCCCTTCCCCCCTCCCCATACTCCGTAAGAACTGCCAGAAGATTGTAGCAGATAACAGTCACCCACCCTACATGACACATCATGGCCTTTAAAGAATTTTCATGTCACTCCTCCATCAAGACAGTGCTGAGATGAGCAAGGAATATTAGCATTGCCATTTTCCAGACAAGAATGTTGAAGCATCAGAACAGCAATAATACCACCACACACTCACATTGCTTTTTAGGCAAGTTTTAAATAGGTCAACAGGGATCCAGAGGATCAGGGTAACAATATGTGCATCCCCTATGGAGAAGCAGCCATCACCTCAAAAGTCCTAGTGAAGCAGGGCAGCATGGGACCTTCAGGAGCCCTGGCCTGGATGGTGTTAGCTTGACCCCTGGACTTGAGGGTCCCATCTCTAAGAAAATAGACCAAAGGAACCTCCAAGTGCTTCTGAGGAAAAGAACTACCAGTATATAGAGTTTAGAGAGTGACTCAGCATCCTGGGGGATGTTTGCCCAACACTGAGGTGTGGTCTCCAGAACAAAGATAGACAGAAGACCGAACAGGCAGAGAAACCAAAAGACTCAGCAGAAAGACCAGCTCCACCAACAGTGAGGGCGGAGGGTGGTGCATCCTTGGCCCTGTCCCATTGAGCTGAGATCCTCAGCCACTGTTTGTTCCCTTGGTAAGGATGTAGTATCTACGGTAGAAAGACCTCCCACCCTTGTTTACCTGTGGATTATAGTGACTGTAGCTAAGATGTGCCTCTGAAATGGTTCATGAGTTCTGTAAGCTCATCTGTCCATTTCCAGCCCATCAAGAAAGCACCAGGACCGTTCTGACCAATAAAACTGTTATGATGATAGAATGATATGAGACAGTGCTTTTCTATGGCCACTAGCCACATATGTCTACTGGGTAAGGAGCCAGTGGTGCCAAGGGAACAAATAGAACAAAGCTAAATGGGACATTTACCTGTGCATTTGGCATATATGGTTCATAGCTTCTATGCTTGGTCGGAGCAGCTCTAGAAACTAGAAGGGACAATGAAAATGGAGCATCTGTCCCACAACTTCAGGCTTCAAAGCATCGAGGCAGTCACTGACTCCTGCCAAGCAGCGGCTTATTTCAGATACAGAGTAAAGAAACAACCCCAGGAAAGTCAAACAGCTGTCTCTAGACAGAGTTGAAATTGCAGGCAGGATTAAATCTTATGATTCCAAAGTTCTCCCCTACATTTGCGATATACTGTTCCCGTATGTGAACGTGCCATCACCTATCTGTCACGTATCTCTTTAATTAGGTGCTTACCACTGGGTTCAATACTGAAAGACAAATCAAGACACACACCTGGACTTTAGGTGAAAGTCCTCAGGCAAAGGTAGTGTAGCTGCCTCAGTGAGAATATAGGGATTTTAATGACTTTGGTTTCCTTCCAGGTAGCTCACAGCACCATGTTATGAATATCATTGATGTCTGCTGAGTTTCCAGTTTATATTTCAGGCCATAGTTCCTGCCCAGAATTTCCTATGGAAATACCAAACAGCCTACTGGAGTCCAAATTTGGATACCAAATCAGCTTCTTGACCTTGTCCCCAAACCTTCCCCCCTCTCGACAAATGACAATGCTCTTTCCACTGCACCATCCCAAGCTTCTGGGGTCGTCCATGGCTCCTTTTTCTTTTTTAAAATTTCTTTCATCAAATCCACTGACAGATATCGTTAGCTCTGTCTGCATACAGAGTACTAGCCATTCCCACTGCTGCCACTCCCATCTGTCCTCTTCATCTCCATCCAGACTGAAGAAGTTCTTGGGTCTCTCTCCTTTTGTTGCTTATTTTTCCAAACAGTAGCCAGAGTCATCTTTTTAAAAATAATTTATTTATTTTTAATTTTATGTGCATTGATGTTTTTCCTGCATGTATGTCTATGTAAGGGCATTGGATCCCCTGGAAGTGGAGTTACAGACAGTTGTGAACTGCCATGCAGGAGCTAGGAATTAAACCCAGGTCCCCTGTAAAAGCAGTCAATGCTCTCTTAATTGCTGAGCCATCTCTCTAGTCCCTAGAGTCATCTTTTATAAACTGAAATTTCAGAATATGTTCCTCAATGGTTTCTCAAACTCCTTCTACAAAACCCTGCAAGGTCTACTTCCTGATGTCTCTGTAACTTATTTCCTATCACCCTTTTTTATCAAACCAGGTCTTTCTGAGCACCCCTTCCTGATACCACTGTTTTGCTCACTCCCTGGCTTCCTGAGGACCTCTGTCCAAAAAGCCCTTTATCAAAGACAGTAGGCACTCCTCACCCTATCTTATTTCAGTTTCCCTCATAATATTTATCCACTTTAAAGTGTAATGTGTGTGCCTATTGTTGCTTTCATGCTCAAATACAAGCTGGAGTCGATGAGCAGATAAAGTAGAAGAAGCCAAGTTGAATTCAAATTCGGTAAACAAGAATTTATTTTTCAATAAGAAGTTATCATAGATATTAGAGGGCTCTTATAATTTAAAAAAAAAATAGCTAAACCAGCTGTAGTGATACACGCCTTTAATCCCAGAGAACTCGAGACCGAGGCAGACAGATTTCTGCGAGTTCAAGACCAGACTGGTCTACATAGCTAGTTCTAGGGCAGCCAGGACTACATAGAAAGCCTCTGTGAAAAACAAAACAAAACAAAACAAAAAACAAAACAAAACAAATCACTGTTCATCTGTTATTTGAGTTTTACTAGTGTTCTGTATTTTATTTGCTAATATTTATGGCAGTACCCCCAAAGCTAGAGTAATCTTGAAATGTCACCACCAGTAAATATTTATTGGATGGATGGGTAGGTAGGTGGATAGATGGAGGGATGGAGGAAGGGAGGAAGGAAGGGAGGGAGGGAGGGAGGAAAGAACGGATGAATTATCCAACTGGGCCATTAAAACAATGAGCCTAAAGAGCCTGAGATTAAGAGGGATGGAGTCTTTGAAGGACTTTTCAGAAGCTGGAGCCTCGGGTGCCAGTCCCTGCCCCTGCTTCTCTGCAGGCAAAACTCCGCCTCCGCTCTAGGTTGCCCGGGTTAGCTGCGGTCCTCCAGGGGGCGGGGCCGACTAACTGGGGCTTCAGACCCAGTCCGGGCCAGAGCCGCGGCCCCTTTAACTCTCCACCTCCCTAGCACCGCTTTCGCCCTCCTGAGTGACGTCACCATGGGGCGCCCAATGGGGGTGCAGCTTACTGGCAAGCAGTGCCCGGGGCCGCTGCCGAAGGGGAAGTGAGCTAAGGCTGGAGCTATGGCCCGGGTTTGGAGCCTGCGGCCGCCGCCGCCACCAGCGCGCCCAGAGAAGCCGCGGCCGGAGCAGGGACCGGAGACGCGGCTGGACTGGCCGCGGCGCGTGTGAGTTGCGGAAGTCGCTGGCGGCGGAACACTTGACACTCGGAGCACTTCAAGCTGGCCGAGCGGTGGTCACCCCTCATCACTGCGCCCCCTCAAGGCCCTAGCAGCAGGTCTGGGGTTGCTCCAGGCTCCCGCTCCTCTCGCGCCGGTCTCTACAAACTCAGGACTGAAGCCACGGGAAGGTGATCATCCCGAATCCCAGTGGGCGTCCCGGCCTGGGCGTTTTTTAGGCACCCAGGCAGTGTCGGTGCTCTCTCCTGTCACCACCTGTCCAGTTAAGGATTAGCGAGTACCCATTGCCTGCTATGCTAAGTCTCCTCTCCTCCCATTCAAAACAAGTTTACTTTCCTTCTGCATTGGGAATCTTGTCCAGAGATCCAAAGTATCCTTAGTTTTGTGTATCTTTTCCCAGCTTCTGGAGCACTCCTAGAAATATTGGCTGCCTACACGACTAAGAATCTCGTGCTTTACTTAGCGGGTTGTTTTGTTCTGTTTTCCTTTTGACAGGTAATAGTTGTTTCAGGAATTTATCCATTTGGATCGCCAGTTCCTTGGCCATTTCTATGTAACTTCCCCCCCATCCATCTGAGTCCAATTTCCTCTGGGCTCTATTCTCCAGCCCTAAGTAGATCTGGTCAGTCCCACCTCTGGGTGGGAGTGATCAGGGGGCTCTGGCCCAGGATTTCCAACCCTGGAAGGCAGCTGCAAGTCAGCGAGAGAGTTGGGTGTTGGTTACGAACCTGGCAACTCAGGAGTGGGCCCGCCACTCACCCCCCACAAAAAGATGAAGAAGCGCAAAGAGCTCAATGCGTTGATCGGCCTGGCTGGTGACAGTCGGAGAAAGAAGACCAAGCAAGGCCCAAGCAGCCACCGCCTGCTTCGCACTGAGCCTCCTGACTCAGACTCAGAATCCAGCTCAGAGGAAGAGGAATTTGGAGCAATTGGAAATCGCTCTCGTTTTGTCAAGTGAGTGTAGCAGTGGAGAGGGCTGAAATGGGCAAAGGCATCTTGCACTACTACCAGCCAAGCAAATAGATGGGAAGGAGAAGGAGGAGTCCTTTGGATGAAAAAAGGAAGTAGGCCTTGGAAAACAGAGGAAGAAAGAATGCTGGAGAGAGCAAGTTCTAACCCTAAATAAAAAGTAAACAGTCACTCTAATGTCTAGCAAGAGCTCCAAATCCAGGGTGGAAGTGTGAACTTGGCGAATGGGCCCATAGCCCAAGAAGGAATTAAAAGGTTACTAATGGAGACAGAGGAGCAGAGAGGCTTTTGGAGCTAGGCATTTTTTAAAAGTAGGTCAAGGGACCTTGAGACCAATACTTGTTTTGTGTTTTCTTAATGAGCTTGGATACTGGTGAAGGGCATACTGTCCAAAGTGTGAACCTTGCACATAGACTCAGGGTAAGGGTACGGGAGGTGGGGAGCAGTCTTTTTTTCTCAAACCAGTTTCAGGTAGAGCAACCACTAAACAAATGAGCTTTGAGGATTGGAGGATTAAGAGGTGAGTTTGTGAGGCAGCTGAAGGAAACCTCAGACATTTGAGCCTGTCAGAGACCAAACTAAAAGTGAAGGGAGCCTGCTGGGGAGTAGAGACAAGTGCTAGGCAGAGGGCTTGTTGTGATCTTTTAGCGTGTTCAGAGTCTGTGTCCTTCTGTTGAGGCTTTGGTTAGTTAAGGACCTCTCCAAGTTTGTGTTGTGAAGGTCATCTGACGAAGTGTGGGTCTTGAAAGTTGCCCTGCTGCCTTAGTTTAGAACTGAAGGCTAGGTGAGGTCTGGTGTGAAGTCTAGTGTGTTTCTAGTTCTGTCCTCCCAAGGCAGTTAAGGTAAAGGATATCAGGTGTCCACTTAAACCAGCAGATCTTGTTTCTCTCATCCTGTTTGCAGTAAAACTTGGTCAAGAGTTTGTGAAGTTCCAATAAATGAGGCAAGGTCTCCTGGGCTAAGTGAGCGTGTATTAGGGAGGGGGGTAAACCTGGGCTAAGTGAGCGTGTATTGGGGAGGAGGGTAAACCTGGGCTAAGTGAGCATGTATTGGGGAGGAGGGTAAACCTGGGCTAAGTGAGCGTGTATTAGGGAGGGGGGTAAATTACACTGCAGGGATAGAATTCCATAGAACCCCTCATTTTTACCCTTCTTTCCATCCGTTCTTTCTTTTTATCTTAGTACTACTAAGGATTAAGCTAGATTCTCATGCATAGTAGACACACACCCTCTCTCCCACCAAGCAAACATCCACCACCATCTTGTAAAACAGGATCTTAGTAACTTGTTCAAGCAGGCATAGAACTTGGTAATCAACCCCTCTTCCTCAGACTCCCAGGTACATGGATTGCAGATGGGCCACTGGGTCCTTCTTGTCGTTTACACTTCTCAAACTGAGTTCAGCTCCAAAGACCACCTTCCTGAATTGACAGCAGTGACCGAGAACCTACAAGCACTTCCCATGACCCACGGGAACTCCCTGTTTCCTGTGCACTTTGAAACCTTTGTACCCAATAGACCTTTTCACAGGTAGTATTCAGTAATTTTCAACCTCCTATTAGTCGTAAGTGTATTATCTTGTGATCCTTGGTAAAGTCATTGGTCATTCATTAGAGAAGATAATCGCATAGCAACATACTGTTGTTAGTAAAGCTGTTCTTACAGCTACCTTCTCACTCATGGGTGACTGTGTTCTTCTGACAGGGGAGACTATGTCCGATGCTGCAAGATCTGCTATCCCCTCTGTGCCTTTGTCATCCTCGCAGCCTGCGTTGTGGCCTGTGTGGGCTTGGTGTGGATGCAAATGGCTCTCAAGGAGGATCTGGATGTCCTCAAGGAAAAATTTCGAACGAGTAAGTGGTCAGGTTTTTTTTCAAGTTTTGGGAAAAACTGGCCCGTTCCGAATTTGCCCATTTTGGTAAGCAATTGTCCGTCTTGTTCTATATATACTATCTTTAACTGTCAGCTTAACTGTAATAACACATACTTGTTTTTCAACCCATAAACAAACTCAGTGGTTATGTACCATCAGACAAGTAGCATCTAAAATTATGACACTGCAGTCAACAATGCAAAAGGGAACAATTGTAGGCCAGAAGCCTGATTATACTCTACCTACATCCTCGCTCCAGTTACAGAGTGGCTGTTGTAATGCCACGGTTTCTTTCTACCTCACAGAGCCAGCATTAAAATGTGGAAGCATCTGTCAGGTGACAGGTTTCCTCTTTCAAAACACTGTGTAGGATCATAGGAGTGGACAAGTCATTCTCAGAGCCACCATTTACACACTGTCTGCCTGTGCCAATGGACACATAAACTGTTCCCAAACAGTCCTCTGACATAGGCATTGTTTTTGCTCTTCCCTACCTCCCCACGTGAGTGTGTGTGTGTGTGTACACATGCCTGTGCAGTGTTAAAGATGAGAATTACTACTTAGAAGAAGAAACTGGAGGGGGGGCAGATGTTTCAACAGATTTAGACACTTGCTGCCAATCTTAATCAACTGAGATCCATCCACCTGTGTTGGAAGGAGAGCACTCTTGCAAGTTGTCCTCTGACTTCCATAGACATGCTGTGGCATGCACACACACAACCGATAAATAAATAAATAAATAAATAAATAAATAAATAAATGTTTAGAAAAACAAGTTTAGAAAAGTTAAGTAGGTTGTTTAGCAATTAAGTGTATAGACCTGAGATTTATATCTGGTCCTCTTGCCCTTTATCCCCAAGTCCACATTTATAGCCACTGCTGTACTGCATTACTGTTCCAGTGCCAATAAAAGCTTCACAAATGACTACAAGTGCCCACAAATTACTCTGTATCAGTGCAGATCAGTAGTCTATGAAAAATTTAGTAGCTGTTGGAAGAGCTGGTTTTGTACATGTGTATGTTTTGATGTTCAAGCACAGAGCAAGAACTGATAGGTAGCCAGTAGGCTTTTTTCCACAGGATACTTGTTTGTGCTTTCTATTCCAAGGAGGAAAAGCTTCAAATACCATGAACGTCACCATCTTAAAAGTTCTAGGGAGCATTTGATCCTTTGAAGTGCATTGCACATTGCTGAAGAGGTGCACTGATCATAACAGTTCTGACCTTGAAGCCAGCACAGCCAATGGACAGATTTGTCTTATAAAGGGGTTTTGTGCTTTAAGAGACTTCTCAACTTACAAAATGTCATATATTCTAATTACAAAGTTCAGTTATATATATCCAAAGTTTTTTTTTCTAAAAGGCATGTTTGCATAGTGGTTTCAACCAGGTTTAACTAACACATTTTCTTCTTTTCTAGCAACAGTATAATTTTTGGTTCTAGATTTCAAGAATTAATTTTCTAAGCTAAGGAACCAGTTTCAGTTTAATCATAGACCTCAATGGTAATAGTACTCCAGGAAACTGACCACAGGCTTCCCAGAACTGTGGCTCCAAAACTGGCATTTGGGCTCTCAGTTTTCCTCTTAAGCCTAGAAAAATCACAGCCTTCTGAGGCAAAAGAATCAGTTAGCTTCTCTTAACCTACAGTCATTCAAGCTTTGAAGGTGACAAAGGACAGCTACTCCTTAGAGTGTGTCTCTAGTGACAGTGCTTTTAAAATCTTTTAATATTCACTTGGGTTTTCTTGACTTTCTGGTCCAGGGATAGGATTGGGTAAGTCCACAATTCTTCATCAGAATCATCCTGATTTATATGATTGAATCAAAGTACAGCACAAAAAAGAATGTACAACCTAAAGGGTTTCTCCCTATGTAATTCTTATTTTTGCAATATTGCAAATATTTTTAAGCCTATATTTTCTTTGCATGTAAATAATAAACATAACTAGGAAACAGTGTTGAACTATACGTGACTACTGAGCACACCTTTCTGTCCTATGAATCCTCCATAATTAGTTAAGCTTCTTAGGCTTATGACACACCTCATTTTGATCACATATAGCAATTATATGTTTATACATTCCATACATTGCTCAGTTCTACCCTCTAGAGATTCCTTTCTGCAGCTATGAATTTATAGGATACCAAGGTAATACCTTAGCTGGGCTTGCCATGGATTTCTTTGTCTGGAAAATGCGAGACATATAGTAGGCCTGACAGACAGTCGATAAATACTTGTTAAGCATTTGTTAATGTCAGTTCCTAAAAATAGTTTATTCAGGAGATGCCACTCCATCCATACACCTGGGCTGTGGGGGCCAGCTTGCTATCATTGAGGAAGACTGTCCTGTAGCCAGAACTGTATTTGTCAGCTAGCTGAGTAAAGCAGGTTTGGAATTGTCAATCTAGTTGTGTTGTTGGCTTTGCTTTGCCACCATAGAAATGTCAGTGGCCACTGAGATCATTCATTGGCAAGGGCTCTTACCACCACGCCTGATGACCTGAGTTCAGTCTCTGGAGTCCATGTGGTTGAAGGAGAGCCACTCTTGTGAGTCATAATCTTACCTCTGTGTCCATGTTACACCACACAAACACCACCAACACCATATGCAACACACACACAAGAAAGAGAGAGAAAGAAAACAAAGACAAGCAAGGACTTCATGAGGGATGGAAGTCTGTCATGCTCAAGCTGGACTACTGTGGACTGATTGCTCACTAGTTTTGGTTTCAAAAAAAAGAGAAAGAGCAGTTACCTTGACTAAGTGGAGTAATTTTACTACGTTTAAATGATCATATTTTTAAAACTATGCTTGTACTTAAGCACATCTCAGTAAGTTAATTTTTATTTCTTCTTAATCTAATAAAATAGTAGAACTTATCAGTTCAGATAAGACCACCTGCCTGCTTGACTTGAATGCCTTTTGAGAAATCAGAGCCTCTTGTTCCTCATTTCAATAATTTTTCCAAGGAACCCCTGAGGAACAGGGGGACGTACCTGAGTGGAAAGCAAGGCTTATTTATGCCTTACTTTTTCTTTGCAGTGAGGAGTGGCTTGATCCTTGAATTCAAACACTGTCTGGCCTTCAAAACACTTTCTTTAAAAAATGCATTGCCTGCACGTATGTCTGTATGAGAAGACCGGGTTCCCTGGAGGTGGAGTTACAGACTCTTGTAAGCTGCCTTGTGGGTGCTGAGAATCGAACCTGAGACATCTGGAAGAGCAGTTAGTGCTCTTCACTACAAAGCCATTTCTTCAGCCTCCCTCCCTTTTTTGAATGCTGTATTTTTATATGTGGGTGTTTGCCTGGATGTATCTGTGCACTGTGTATATGCAGTGCCCTGGAGGCCTGAAGAAGATGTCAGGTCCCCTGGGCTGTAGTTACAGACTTGTGAGCTTGCATGTGGATGCTAGGAACTAGACCCAGGTCTTCTGGAAGAGCACTTCTAGTAGAGCACTCTTAACCTCTGAGCCCCTTGCCTTGGAACTTAATTCAGTATTCTTTTTCTAGAATCAGATATTTTAAAAGACTTTCACAGTCATCCAAAGCAAAATTATATCTCCAGTATTTCCTCTCTGTCAGTGATGAAGCATTAGAGAAAACGGGAAGAATTTAGAAGAGAAGGAAAGTGCTAACCACTCAGACATCTCCTTTTTGGGTCATCTGGGGAAAGTAGTGGTTTGATATTTTGTACAAAATGTTAGATGCTTTTGTGTGAGTAAAGTACAAAGATGTGTCACTGACATCGTAAGCATCCTAAAAGAGTACTGGTCCTGTGAGCATTTAGTTTGACTTCTCACTATGAAATTAGAACAATCACGTAGTTCTTTCTGAGCCTATATTTTCTTACCCACACCTGACACATGAAGATGTATTTTTGCCTCGAAAGCACTTTGGTCATTACCCTGTTATGTTATAGTAATCCTCCATTCACCTCTAGACAGAGAACTTTAGGGCCTTTTCTATACAGTGGTGTCAGGTAGAGGGCTGGCACACAGTAGAGGCTCAGTAATGTGTCATTTGTGATAATTACATCAAAATTGATTATAAATTATGGGGGGCATTGTATGAATACAAAACTTAACTATTGACATTGTGTATGTTGTGTTTGAAAAGTGTATATAGAAATTTTCATTTCCTAATCATAAAGATGGAAAAAATGAGAATTAGATAAATTCTTTTGAGATTTAACATATTAAATTTTAAATGAGTTGCTTTCCCTGGTGAAAGAACATGAATAAGTAATTGTAAGTTGTTTGTTTGCCATACTTCCATTTATGTAACAAAAGTGCCTCAGTTTGTCTTGTTTCCCCTCAAAAACCCACAGCAGGTAATGATTGTGATCCCCTCTTGGCTCATAGACTCCTCAGGATCCAGAGTGTCCTCAGGGCTTGCTAGCTTCATGTATGCATTAGTTAATAGTTGTAACTCAGGTTATTTATGTCTCTGTCTTACTTCTTTTCCACTTCTAAGTCCTATTTATTGCATATAGACTTCAGGAAAGAGAGCCCCTCCCTGCTGATAGTGTTTGACCACCTGAGTGTGGAAGGCATTCAGGGGATGGGCTTTTCTTTACAACCTAGCTGAAACTCTATAAGCAATTCAGTAACACAGAGATGCATTCGTTAGAATGAGTAATGGAATGTTCTTACTGACTGAGACAGATGGTTTCTGCAAACCATGTGTAAATCAAATGCTATGCTAGAAGCACTCAGGAAAGTCTGTTATTTAGAATGCAATCCTATGGCAGCAACTTTTGAAAAATAAATGAAAATACCTAATTTCATTATTGTGAATTGTTCCATAGTGGGCTTGCTAAAAGGGATATTGCCACCACCCTCAGTTTTCATGAGGCCTTGTTATTGTTAAGTGTGCTTGCTTGTCTGACATTTTTACTTTCTGAATTTTCTTTGTTGGGTTTGAAGAGGAGAATGATGTACTGAGACATATGGTTAGAAGATCAGCAAAGACCAGGTTTATTTAGGTAACAAGTATTTACCAAGTGCTTAAAGTGATATTCTAAGTGCAGACCACACAGAAATGGAAAAAACCAAGTCATAGAGTTCACATTTTAGTAAATTATTTTATAGTGACCCTGTATGCCAGTGTGGGGGCATAATATATATATAGTAACTAATCAGGAAATTTATGACCTGAAGAAAAATGATGTACGTTTTATTCTGGAAGAAGAGACATTATCAATATTTTATTTTCCATTAAGAGGAAAGAAATGCTTTTTAAAGGAGGAAGAGAGTGTGCCCTCGGCCTCTGCCTCAGTCTTCAGGTCTCTTAACTGTGCAGGAATTGTTTCCACAGAGTCCAAATGTCCCCCTGCGCCTCACTGACACGTTTATCTTCTGTTACATCTTGAGCTTTCGGGTTGGTTAAGAAAACGCTATTTATGAAATAATCTTATTTCTTATAGTAGTATTTGAATACCCCCTCGCAGTCAGCCAATTTAAAGTAGAAGAAAATAAGCATTTAGAGGTAGTTTGTAATGGCACTTTGTGCAACCGTGGGATAGGAGTTGTAAGTCTAATTGGATAATCTGAAAGCTGGTCAGACGTTTATTTATCACTGACTGTATGCCTGGTTAAAAGTGTTAAAGATGTACGCTTACATCACAGTGCTGCCCTGCCTCCACTTTCCTTTTTCATTGTAATTAGGTGATTGTGGATTAAGTCATCATCATCCCAAAATTAATTCACTAATTATTCATTAATCTCTCTTCTTCCCTTCTTTCCTGCCTTGTGATTGCTCCTCTCCCCGCCCCCCACCCCCCATTTTGGAGCCAGAGGAAATGTCGTCTTTATTTATAATTGTTCTTATTTTGTTTTCAGTGGAGTCTAATCAGAAAAGCTCATTCCAGGAAATCCCCAAACTTAACGAGGAACTTCTCAGCAAACAAAAACAACTTGAGAAGATTGAGTCTGGGGAGCTGGGCTTAAGCAGAGTCTGGATCAACATCACAGAAATGAATAAGCAGGTAGTGAAAGTGTGACTTTATTCCTGTGTAAGCTGTGGAAATGAATTTGCATTAGTTGGTGAGCATTTAGTATGAATTTATAATTCAAGGTTTTGTCTTTTTAAGTTGGAATTTACTGTGATCACAACATGTTAAAATAGTAAAATAGCCACACCAAAAAAAACAAACAAAAAACCCCTACCATTTGCCAAAATTTTATTTTTATTTTTTTTATTTTTATTTGTTTTTTAAATCAAATTGTAATTTTTACTTAGTCACACAGGGGTTATAAACACAAAAAGGCAACGTGTGGGGAAAGGGATGACACTGGAGTGTGGGTGTTCAGAGGGAGTACAGATATCGTTCAGAACAGGGTATTGGCTGGGTAAAGGTTCAGGGGACAGGACACTATGACTCTGCCTATGATTCACCTGTCCTTATCTAAGTTGGTATTATCTGCCAAGGCTACCTATTTACAAGGTCTATGACTACTCAGGCTGGTAAATTTCCACAAAAGCTGCCTGGTTACAATAGCTTATAGCCATCTGTTTCAATGTTTTTCCACAGAGACCCAAGACTTGGTGTTAGTATACATGTATGATAGGTCTATTGCTGATTTTAGGCCTATGGCTGATTTTAGGCCTTCAGTGTGTAAACAGGGCTGCCCCTGACATCTCCTCCCTTCTCTAGGTATAGAAGGGCTGTGGCAATTCTAATCTTGGGAAGGCGGGGATAGAGGCCTGACTTCCAGTAATTGAAGGGGACTTTGTAATGGCTCTGGTCCCCATGTCATTGTCCAGTGAGGCATGAGGTTGCCAAAATTTTAAATGCATTTACCAAGTATCTAAAATGTTAACCCTTTCTGCACATGCAGAGTTCCATAGGGTAGAGCATTATAGAGGGAGTTATAAATAACTGAGTCAGCTTTTTCTACAGAGAAATATAAGTAGCAAGTAAGAAGGAATGCCATCTAATGCCTATTGTTATTAGGTGAGTTTGTTTTGTTTATGAGAGCTTACAGACATAGAGGGTTAGCACTGGAGTAGAGTGCTATGGCGGGATGCCAGATCTAGAACAACCACATGGCTAATGGTCAGGTAGACTAGCTTAGGAGCAGGTATAGAGTTACCTGACTTTGGCCAGACAAGCAATTCTAGAGAAAGCTGTTGAGCCTCAAGGTTGTTCAGAGCTCAGTAGGCATTGCTTCTAAAAGAAGGAATCTACCAGAGAAACCGTGTTTGTTCTAAGGATTTTTGACCAAGATTCTCATACATGTAAAGAATTATAGTTACTACTGGGATCCAGAACCCATTGTCAGGCTTGGGTCTTGAGTTGATTTTTGTTGTTTCTGCTGCTTAGTTTGGCTTTTTGTTGTTGTTGCTTTCAGTTTAGTGAGGAAAGATATAGTCATTGAAAAGAAAACTCAAGTACCAAATAAATAATACACATGCAAAATACTTAAAATTAGGCTTGTCATCTTTGTTGAGATTAAGAGAACATTCTCTTCAGGATGGAGTCTTGAATGAGCCAGTAAGAGGAAGCACTGTTGGAAGAACAGGCTTGTAAATATTTATAAAGTTACACCTTTTAGCCACATTTTGCGAGTAGGATAGTTCAGTGTTTAAGGCTGAAATTCAGTGGTCTAGGAAAATAAAATGTCTTCTGCCTGGAATCCAGAGTAAAATTGTCTACATTTCCCAGTAAATGTGTGTGACAGTGTGCAATGGTGTGAATGTGTTCCCCAGTTCATGTGTCAAGTACATACAGAAGTGTAGCCTTTCGTGGGTAATTAGCATTTACCCCAAAATTATTTTAGAAGAGAAATAGAAACCCTTTGGCACATTTGTGTGTTCTTATCACATGCATCGGTTACCCTCCACTGTGTTATGATAAGGCAAAAATTCCTCATTAGATGCAGTCACGTGTTCTTAAATGAGCTAAAGAACCTGTTTATAAGTCACCCATGCTATGGTGTGCATGCTCTGGCTGCAGGAAGTGGACTAAGATACTATAAGCAGCTAAAATGAAATATCTGAAAGCAGTGGCTCACCCAGAAAGTGTTTAGTGCCTTATGACATTCCTAGTCTTAACTTTTGGGGGCTTTGTTTTATTTTGATTTTGGTTTTGGTTTTGAGACAGTTTCATTATGTAGCCCATGCTGGCCTGGACACTAAGATGATACGAGCCACCACACCTGGCTCTGTTTTGTTTTCTTTTCTTTTCTTTTCTTTTCTTTTCTTTTCTTTTCTTTTATTTTATTTTATTTTATGTCTCAGAGGAAATAAGTTACAGATGATACCAACTAGTATTTACTAGTTATCATTTATTCTTAGGTTCTTGGTAATTTAAAAAAAAAGCAGATATTCATTTCTTTTGTGCACAAAGAATAGAATCCACTGTGGCCCTACATGCACACAGCAAAGGAGCAGTATGGACAGAGATGATATCAGGTGGGAGTAGCACGGCTCTGGGAGAATGAACGTTTTTCCTGGGCAGTCTGTGGATCTCAGTTGGCAGAACAGGGTCAGCCATTCTCAGACAAGGTTAAGATTGCTTTGCATGAAAAAACAGACAAACATCAACTGTTTGTCTCCACCTCCTTCTTACATATTGGCATTCTAGAACTGCCCAAAGAGAATACTGGTGCTTAGTGTGCTATAAGACGTCCTAGGACTTTGTGTATGAACCTGGAGAAGGTTAGACTAAAACTCTTTTCAGATTAGTAGCACCAAACTGTATGAGATGCTAGATTGATTTATTAAAGCCAACTTAAAACAGGGGAGTCCTCCATTAGCATAGACCCAGAAGGATGGATGGCGGTGAGGTCAGCTGAATATTGTTTCCGAAGGGAGCTTGGCAGTCTGGGTGGTTCTCTAAAGCTAGTGCACACATCTCCAGTGCTCTATTCAAGCCAGCAGCCAAAATGAGTCAAAATAGAAATAAAAGTAAAAATAATGTTTAACTATGTATCTGTGGCTAGTGATAATTGTCAATTCAGGTGATTCTAATAGCATTTTTAAACAATTGAAAGATACTCAACCCACAAGAAAATGTATTCTGTCACTTATCAAGAACTATTTCTGCTACCAAGTAAGCTGAAGTTAATTCAGGCTGGGGAAAAGGCCATCTGGTTGAGAAAGTTAAAATCCAACTTTTCCTTAAATCTTTAAGGTAGTACTTGAATCTTCACTTACACTTTGTTTTATTCATGAAACTTCTGGTACTGTGCCTGTTCCCTCTTGACGGTTATAAGACACCTCCCTTTCTGTGGGGACAAATGTTTACCAAGCTGCTTTTATGGAGCTAAAGCCTTTGTACCTCAGTCCATTCAGACTGCTCTAACAGAAGGCTTTCAACTAGGTAACTTATGAAGAATGGAATTTATTACTTGCAGTTCTGGAGGCCCAAGACTCCAGGATCAAGATGCTGTCAGATTGTCTCTGGTGCAGTCTCACTGTCGGCTTCATGGCCGGTTCCCTATAGCTGCATTAGAAGAAAGGGTGAAATGGCATCACTGGACTATTCATGAAAGTAGATCCATCTCTTATCATGCCTGGAGGACCCCACCTTTTACTGCCACCACATTGGAGATTTTTGAACATGAAACTTATAGGGGAGTACCAACATTCAGACTACAGTAGATTTAGAGCCAAAAAGATGCAGTCCCTTACCCCAGTGATCTTATGGACAAACAGAAAATAGGAAAGTAAGAAGCTTGACATGAAGCAGGTCCGTATGGCTCAAATGCTGAGGGCGTATTTAAATGACTATCCAACCCAGATTGGGATCAGCTTTCCCAGAAATGTTGTGCCAAGTCTGAAGGGGAAATGGAGCAGGTGGGCCCTGGAGAACGAGAGACGGTTACTCTCTGTAGCCAGTACAGCGATCCTCATCATTTTATCTACCTGCTAAAATCTACCTGTGACCTCAGGACCTGTAAGTATGAAGCTTTGTAATCATCCACTGATCTGTGTACAGCAACGATAGCTTTTGAGTCACCCCACAGACACTGAAAGCTGGAGCACACTCCTTTCTTGTTCTGTTCTCATACTGTGAACAGGTGGGGTTCTGGGCTGTATTTCATGTCCCTTTTCACATTTCTGTCCTCTTCGTTGGTGATTTCACTGTTTCGGGGCTTCCTTCAGACATCACTTTCCGTGCTGCCACTGTGAGTTCAGTCTCAGTCAGCAGTGTCGTTAAATTATGATGTTTAAATAGGAACACGTGTAAAACAAGGTTATATATTAAATTGATGTGTTACTGAAAATGTAACCAAAGGACTCACAGGAACCTAGCCCCCACCCCTAGGAACAGTGTTTAGCATTCACTAATCCAGTGTTTGCTGTAGCTTTTCAGAAGATAACTACCTAATAACAAGAACGGAGTACCTTTGTAAAACAATAGACAAGTGAAAAGACTTCGTATTGAGGAAATTTTAGTCCTTCCTTATTGCCTGCCTTGGGCCCAGAAAGAAGCCAGAGATAAAGTAAATCAACAAGCACTGTTATCAAGGACCTTAGGCGCCCTTCTGTAGTTCCCTCCTGCTCTCTTGTGAGCACTTGTATGATGGTCATTTGCATATGCATCTAATGGCATCAGGAGACTGTACACTGTACTCAGCCTCAAGCTGGTGATGAAAATCTGAGTAGTGATGATAACTGTTGTACATTAAATGTCTCCTTTGTGCACACCACTCAGTTAGCTGAATAGCATGTATGATCTCCTTTCTCTTTGTCCGTAAGTCACAAGTAGTAAGTGGTATGTACACCAGTGCAGATAAGAAAATTGAGATTTGCCTGGTGGTGGTGGTATATGCCTTTAATCCCAGTGATTGAGAGACAGAGGCATGCAGAGCTCTGTGAGTTCAAGGCCAGCCTGGTCTGTCCTGTCTAGCAGGGCATTAAACAGGGGTCCGGGGAGATCACCTGAAAGAGAAAGTGGGGGACAGGCTGACGCAAGGAAGGCGATCTGTCTATAGTCTGATCAAATCGCCATTTTTACTTTTTCACACAGGGGTTATATACACAAAAAGGCAGGATATGGAGAAGGGGATGATGCAGGAGCGTACGTGTTCAGGGGAGTACAAATATCTTCCAGAACAGAGTGTCAGCTGGGTGAAGGTTCAGGGAGACAGATCACTATGACTCCGCCTATGATTCACTTGTCCTTATCTAAGTTGGTACTATCCACCAAGGCTACCTATCTACAAGGTCTATGACTATTAGTTCTTATCCAGGCTGGTAAATTTCCACCAAAGCTGCCTGTTTACAATATCTTATAGCTATCTGTTTCAGTGTTTTCCCACAGAGACCCAAGACTTGGTGCTAGCAGGCATGTATGTCAGGCCTATTGCTGATTTTAGGCCTTCAGTGTATAAGCAGGGCTGCCCCTGACACTGGTCTACAGATCAAGTTCCAGTACAGCAAGGGCTGCACAGGAAAACTCTGTCTCAACAAGCAAAGCAGATAGACAAAACAAAATAAATAAACAAAACAGAAAAAAAGAAAGAAAAAGAAAATTGAGGCCCAGAGGTAAAAGAGCTTACCCAATTTGCAGCTGTGTATCAATCTAGCCCTGAAGTGTTTGAGTCTTGGGAGCCTGTTTTCTTCCATTTTTATAGAAATATGTAGGGCTAGGTACACCTCTAATTCCAGCACTTTGGAGATAGTGGCAGGAGAATCTCTTGAGTTTAAAGCCAGCATAGTCTACATAGCGAGTTCCAGGACAGTCAGGACCCTTACTCACAATAATTCATCATCTGTGATTCTCTGTTTGCTTAACTTTCCTCACTATTTAAAGAACATTAAGTTCAACCCTGAAGAAAAAATTGTGTTTCTGTTTTTGAAATATAAAATTTTATATTAAGCAAATAGTCTACAGTGGCTATTTCTACTTTTGCTGATTAAAAATAATCATAGACTATGCATAGAAGTTATAACTTACCTTTTGGCTAAATGTGATTTTTTTTTTCTTTAGTGGTTTCTATTTGACTCAGTTTTTAGTGTCTTCAGATTGTAGAATGTGACATTTGTTGATAAGTTCTGTTGTAATACTTGAATCCAGTCTCACATTCTAGAATCCCTGTTGAGACTAGAGACAATGGGAGAGTACCCCTATCTATCCAGTCTGACTATGCATGTATATGTACTGTAGTTTCCCACACAGTTTGACTCTACTGAAGAGGGGGGGTCTGAAGGGTAGACTGTCTTGGTGGTGTAGGGGTAACTGAGCTGGGACCAGTTCAAACCCACAGTGTTTGTGACACAGAAAGAAGGCCTAACATGCTCCTCCTGAGTGGCTTTTATTACTTCTCTAGTTTTAAGTGAAATGGTGGCTTCCAGCAGCCACACTGGCCTTCTCTGAGACCATAATGTTCCTAAGATACTTCTGACTAGCTCTGATAGCCTCAAGATACTGAGTACCTAACACAATAGTTTCTACCCAGAACATTCGGAGCACAGTGTGTTATTATCCCTTTAGGATCCATTTGCCAATTGTCAGTGATAGTTTATTCACTAGTGTGTATCGTGTCACATAATAGGACGTGTAGAATAATCGTAAGACATCCCCAGGAGGAGTCCCTTCCTTTCGTATTCCCTCATAGTCGTCTCATGTCAGTGATAACACTCTACACTACCTATGTAGTATAAAGCTATCAGAGCTTTTAATATTAATAGCTTATGGGTCACACCAAGTGTGTATGTAAATAAATGGACACATTCAGTATGTGGTGTACTACCACATCCTTTGTTTACTAAATATATCTATGTATCTAGTGATAGGCATTTAGATTATCCTAGTGTTTTGCTGCTACAAATAAGAAAGACCTGTTGTGCATATTTCTTTGTGCCTGTGAGCAAGTAATCTTCAAGATAGGTTCCTATAAATGAAGTTGCTGAACAAAGGATATAAACATTTGAGGACTATTCTTTCAAAACAATCCTTTTCCAGTTTACATCCCCATGAACAATACATGAGAATGCCTGTTTCCTTATGTTCTTTGAAGCCTCAATATTATCCATAGCTTCTTAAAGGAATGGGGGGGGGGGACCCACAGCCTCCCTGATATAATTGCTGCTGTAAGAGGTTTATAGCTTTCTAAAAGTATTTTTCAGTGTGGGCTGAGTGTCTCACCTTTTTGTTTTCAAATGGGTAGGGTTAGAACACTGGTGAGTGGTCTGTGTGTTTGAGAATGGCACGTGTGAGTACTCACTAAATATCACTCCTAAAGAACAGCCACTGATTAATCAGGTGTACTCAGCAATATGCTAAGAGCTGCAGTTACATGTCCTTTAATCTTGTAACATATGAATCATCTGTTGCTGGGTTACATTTAATCTCCAAACTCAGTGGCTTAATACAACAAACCTTCATTATCTCACACTTTCTGTTTGCCAGCAGAATATTCATGCTTAGCAAAATGTTAAGGCTAAAGCCCTAGGGTTGCCGCTAAGGTGCACAAAGAAAATGCCAAATGTCAAGATTCTGCTGTGTCTCGAATCCTCTCATGCCTGTCACAACTTGACCTGTAGCAAGTGGCCAGAAAGTTGGGTGTTTGTGAGGCCACTCATTACAACTATTGGTTAAGCCTTTGTTCTCATCCCAAAATTTAGAATAAGAAAGCAGTCTGGTACTCAGGCTCTTTGAAGAGTGTTTTGAGTCACACTGCAAGATTTGTTAGAATGTGAACTTGAAGGCTGAAATTGCATGTTACTCAGGTTCCCCCAGCCCCCATTCAAGATAAGACTCCAGCTACTTAGAATCCTACCCCTAAGTAGCAGAAAGGAAGCCACATTTTATTTTTATTCAATTTCTGTTTTAATACATTCATTGCATCCTTCAGTGAGTCAGTGGGTATTTATTGCGCTCCTTCAGGGTACAGAGTAATGCTGTGCTTGAGCTATTGAGTTTGAAATATTAATCACATTATTAAACCAAAACCAAGTCCCCGAGTAGCTGAAAGTGTTGTTCAAGTTGTCAGGATACCGTTCCTGAGGACTATATTTCGTGATGATGGGCTTTTACTTTATAATGTGCATTCCCACTTGGACAAGAACAAAAGTTCAGTTAAATAACTGAAGTGAGATTCTATTTTACCAAAGTAAAGTTTGAAGTGGTCCTTGATCATCAGTCTCTTCTTGTTCGGTTGTTGAAGGATTGTGTGGTAGTCACTGCGTCTTTTGAGTAATTGAAGGGTTTTGCATTGTGCCAGTGCTAGGACTAAGGTAAAGAATGACACTTGCAAGGCTCTGGCTCTTTGGCACCAGTTCAAATTGGGCAGAGATATAGGGGCTTGTTGCTGCTTCCTGCCTGCATCTCAGTTCTTCCCACAGTACTGCATTTCCTCCACTCTGTGAGCTGACAAGTACCTGACATTGTGAACTGTAGAGTTTGTGAAGGAAGCATATACTCTACAAATTCTGTGTTCATTGTTTATTAATCTTTTTCAGATTTCTCTGTTGAGTTCTGCAGTAAACCACCTAAAAGCAAGTGTCAAGGCGGCCGCAGACTTGCTTAGCCTGCCCAGCACTGTAGAGGGACTTCAGAAGGTAAGTACTACATTTGGGCACCATGGTCACCCTAGTGCTAGAATTCTGGCACCTTGACAGTTCCCTTCGAAAACCTGGCATTTGAAATTGGCTGCTTCAAAAGAGCAGTATAGTATACCATGTTCTATGGAGTACAAACTTTGGTAGTTAGGCCCTTAATTTTCAACAGGTTTCTATTTTATGGTTCATACAGTTTTTCATTTGTCTGTCTGGGTTTCAGAATTGCTCCTCTGGGACCATTGTGTTAGCTGGTGTTGGTTTACATTTCAATTTGTCCTTACACTTCATGAGCCCAGACCAGTTGTGAATGAGAGTTACTTTAAACCTCCGCTTTTCCATGACTGGAAAGAAGTTGAGTTGTTTGTTTTGTTTTGCTGCTTAAAGATGATCTAGAATGAATGCTGAAGTTAAAAATTAGGGAGCAGGTGTGTAACAAAGGTGCTTTTAAATACTCTGGGGTATAAATTTTAAAAAATTACTTTGGAAACAATTAGGTATTATTTTCTAAAGGCATATGTATAAATCCTAAACAATTACTTGTGTGTACACCATAGACTCCAGGGCTGTATGCAAAGAACAGTTTATAGTTTCTGTTTATTTGACCCCTGGTATGTAGATGTAGCAAACAAATACCAGCCAGAAGGACGAGAACAAGGAATGCCTAGAGCTGGACAGGGAGTGAAAAGAGGTAGGAGGGGAACAAGGTTTCTCATTGAACATGGGGACCATCATCCTCTCAACAAGAAAGGAAAAAAGGATTTTAGGAATAAGAGCCTCTTGCACAGTGAATTTTAAATCTAGGATTCATGGCTTTTAAAAGTTAGCCTGTGATGTTTGATTCAGTTATATTCCAGGCTCTGTCCATAAATGTCTAAATTGTTAGACAAAGTGAGAAATTTCTAAACCACAAACAAAAATAAAACATGATGTTTTACAACAAAAACATTGTGTGCTCAGTCTCTGTAATTTGCTGCTCACGCAGTGTGGTCATCTGCTCTCAGAGCGTAGATTAAGACGGTCGAGGCGACTTTAATGAGGCAGATTCTTGCCGTAATTCCCAGGAGTCGAGTAGGAGAAGACAGGCCTCTGTAGCTTTACAGAGGCAAACCTTGGCAGTCTTGCATTAGAAAAAGAAACTGACTTGTTCTTGTTCTCTTTAACTCAATAAACACTTGTGCAGCTTCCTCCAGCATGTACCAGGCACTTTGCAGTTGGTGGTAGAAATACTAGTTTCAGACTTCCATTCTAGGATTTACATGATCTGTCAGCTGCTTTCCTAAAAAACAACCCCTAAACAAGAGCTCACTATCTTCCTGTGTCCTGACGGCTTAGCCAGCCAGCCAGTGAGGATTCTCAAACAGTAGGTGTCTTTGAGTGTCTGTGGCTTTTTGCAACAACAGGGCTTACATAGCATAGTAGCTTAGAGACTACCCCAAATGTTCTCTCTTTGCCATCCTGCTGGGCACTGCTTTTATTGCAAATGATGATGCACTTTTGAAATGGTAGTTCATCTCCAAAACTTAGCTAGCTTTCAATTATGTCATGTAACTTTTTAAATATTGAAAGTGTTATCATCTCCTGTTCTCTTTAAGGTTTTGTTTCAGTGTAATTTTAAAAACTTGCTTTGGGGACCCCGTGCTCAATCAGTGGTTGGCTAGGAGCATCCCCCTCTGTATGTGTCAGGCTCTGGCAGAGCCTCTCAGGAGACAGCTGTATCAGGCTCCTGACAGCAAGCACTTCTTGGCATCTGAGTTTGGTGACTGCATATGGGATGGACCCCCAGGTGGGGCAATCTCTGGAAGGCCTTGGAGGAATTAGAGAAAGCACTGAAGGAGCTGAAGGGTTTTGCAACCCCACAGGAAAAACAACAATATCAACCTACCAGACCCTCCAGAGCTCCCAGGGACTAAACTACCAACCAAAGAGTACACATGGAGTGACCCATGGCTCCAGCCACATATGTAGCAGAGGATGGCCTTGTCAGGCATCAATGGGAGGAGAGGCCCTTGGTCCTGTGAAGGTTCAATGCCCCAGTGTAGGGGAATGCCAGGGCGGGAGGTGGGAATGGGTGGGTGGGTGGTTGGGGGAACACCTTCATAGAAGCAGGGGAAGGATAGGGTGTTTCTGGAGGGGAAATAGGGAAAGGGGATAACATTTGAAATGTAAATAAAAAAAATCCAATAAAAGAAAAGAAAAAGAAAAACTTGCATTGGAAGCTGGAGATGCAGTTCTGTTGGTGGAGTGTTAACCTAGCACGTACAAAGCCCTAGGTTTGATTCCCAGCACCACATAAAACCAGTTGTGGGGATGTAGGCCTATAATCCCCACATATGGAAGATAGAGGCAGGAAGATCAAAAGTTCAAAATCATCCTTGGGTATATGGCAAGCTGGACTACATGAGACCTCCTCAAAACAATAAAATAACTTTGGTTTAAAATACTAGTGTTACAAAAATAAATAAATAAATAAATAAATAAATGCTAATATTACAGTGTAAGTTGTCAGTATATACAAGTATAAAACCCACCAAATAATAACATTCTTTTGGCCTTTTTTTTTTTTTAAGTAACTAATGGAGCCTGAAGAGATAGATCATTGGTGAAGAACACATACTGCTCTTGCAGGGGACTGTAGCTTGGTTTCTGTAACTTGAGCTCCAGGGGATGCAGTGACCTCTTCTGGCTGCCACGGGCACTTGCATTCACATGCACATGCCCACAACATACACACCTGCATAATTTCTTAATTTTTAAAAGATGACTTCTGAGTCATGCCCTCTGTATATTTGAGTTCTTTAGGACTAATAAGAGCAGAATAAGCAGTTGTCCTTACCTAACTACACTCACTGCTGACAGGATTCTCTGTCAGCTGAGGTCTCCTAGAGCCCAAAGATTATACCCACCCAAGTTTGCTCAAAAGTCATCACTTAATATTCCTGACTGTTGGCAGTCAACAGCATTGGCTCTAGCCATCTGTTTGCCTACAGAGTGTTTAACACACATAGTTTAAGGGTGGATATGTTATCCATGAGTCTCAGACTTTATTATCTTTTATTTTGTGTTTGACTGTTATAAATAATTTTTTAGGAAAATATCTTTTATTTTAGAAAGATTGTTGTTTTCCTTAATTGGGAAAATAGTTTAACTTTTTTTTTCTGTTGCAAAATTAATAGTATTTCATGAAATTAATTTGTCAGTGTTACATTTCATATCAGTCAGAAACACGTATTTCTTTCCCAAGTCAAATGCAGAGATCTGTCCTAGAATGTACTTGGTTTTTATAAAATATAATGGTCAGATTGCCCTTCTAAACTTTTAATAAGGCATTTACATTTAATCTACCTAAAAAAAAAAGAAGACCTTATCTCAACAAAACAAAAAACTTTAGGAAAGCATGTTCTGCCTCCAAAAGAAGGGACTTGAGACTTAACTTATATTTATATATGGAAAATGTTCATAGAAAGAATGAATGTTTATGCTTTTGTTAATTGTTTCAGTGTAAGTTGCATGGAATTTATAGTTTGAATATAGTTGAAATAATTAAAATATTTATTTATATTCAGTTAGTGTTTTAGTGTTAATTAAAATCACAGCATGCCACTAAACTGCCATTAGAATGGGCAAAATTTTTAAGTTAACAGCACCTGTATTTTGAATGTATAGAGTAATATGAACTCTCTTAAACACTGCAAACGGGGCTGTAAAAATGGTACAGCCATTTTAGGAAGTCATATGTAAGTTTTTTCATAAGTTAGGCATAGATCTGCCATATGGTCACCTGTTCATCTATGTATTGTGGTAATGAGAAACTCTGAAGGGAGATGAGGGCGCAAGAACACATGAAGACTACTTCATGAATGCTTATAGCAGCTCTATTTGTTCAGTATCAAATACTAAAATAAAAATAGCCGAAATGTCTACTGACTGTTGAGTAAGCAAGTTGATAAAACCATACCAATGGCATGTGACATGCCGATCAGCTTAGATATAAGTGAATCTCCAGCTTTACTTGATGAAAGAAGACATACTAAAAACCATCTTAGAAAGTGTATGCTCATTGTTCCCTTTATGTAAAGCTCTAGGAAATGCAAACTGACATATAGAGACAAAAAAATGAATAAATGGTTGCCTTGGGTTGGAAAGGGGAAATTATAGAGAGGCATGAAGAAACTGGGGGTGGGAGGTAGTATCTATTGCTTCTATTATGGAAATAGTTTCACAGGCTTATTATGCCTTTAGAATGCATGCATAGATTGCATGTCAGTTGTGCTTAATAAAGCTCTTCAATGGGCTGATATTCCTACATTGTTTATATGCAGAGTGTAGCTTCCATTGGCAATACTTTAAACAGTGTCCACCTTGCTGTAGAGGTGATACAGAAGACTGTGGATGAACACAAGACAACCTTGGAGTTCCTGCAGAGCAGTATGGTAAGATCTGGAAGCACCACAGAAAGTCAGCGTGCTGCTGTTCACCATTTGCTGTGTTAGTCATGACATTAATTTCCCACTGAGCTGAGCAGACAGTACTCTACTTGCTTTTTTTAAAAAAGCAGTGTGGACTCACTGGTCTGCAGTCTGTAAATTAAACTGTTAAGGTAGATGGGATTGAAAGCGAGGTCTTTTGTAAACATGATATTGTAGAAGATGCCCATAATACATTTTCCAAAGATGGAACAGAAGGAGAGTAGAAAGGTATCTGAAAGGAGGAGACAGAAATTGAAAACTCTCTCATCACTGCAAAGTAAACCACTCCAGCAAGTTATTACTTCTCACTCTCTGAGCATCAGGGATGTGAGCAGCTTTTACACCCCGGTGCTGAGAGACCATCTAGAGGAAGAAGGGCCTTCTGAGGTGGTCCAGCTCCCTCCAGGTGTCAATGGAATGCAGCCATATATATGATCTAGACCATGTGGAATCCATCCTGCACCAGCCCCCAAGGTGAGCTCAGGGAACTCACAGAGTAGTGAGAAGTAAAACATTTTTGTCAACCCCAAAATTTGAGAATGACTTGTGTAACAACAAATAGCTGAGGTGGAAGCAAAGGCCGCCATTTCCATGTGCCTCAGCCTCCTATGCAGCTCCACACAAGCACCTCAGTCATCCAGGCAGTAACCACTTTGTAACAGCTCCCTGAAGGATTTATGAAGGTAAGCAAAAGGGGGCACAGCCCTTGCTGTCCTGATGGAGAAACAAGTTGACTTCAGACTCTAAACTTGGCAGTTTGTACCAAGGAACCAGAACTGCATCAGAGTTCCAGAAAGGGTTTTCCTGTCTTCAGAACCAGTGCTCACTGTTATTAACAAGTCACTGTTGCTACTAGTGGGGCTAACCCAAAAGGAGAAGTTTAGGTATCCAGATACCTCGTTCTGATTCCATCTGCCACTGTAGACCTCTGTAACCCATAATAGCAAAAGACCTCTCCACCTCACCACTCCTCTGTCTTATGCATGCTCTCAAGTAGTGAGCTATTTCCTAAAATATTTTCTCCTAGCTGAGTATTTTCTGCTTCCTAGAACCATTGGGTATTATACCTTTTTCTTTTTAATCTTACCTTCAACTTATATGAAAACAAGGTTGATAAATGTCTAGGATTTCAGATTTTAAGGAGAACTGTTTTGCCAGTTATACTGTTTTAATTGAATCAGTATCTACCAATAGTAATTCTACTAGCACACTGTACTAACCTATGGCCGTGGGCTTAAAGGAATCCACTATGCAGCTTTTCCCAGTAAAGGGTGAAACTGTGTCTAAGCATGATATACTTAGGTCTCTTCAAAGAGAGACTAGAGCAGTGGGAAGGAAAGGGAAGAGAAGAATCACCCCCCAGTGTAGATATCAGCATACCTGTAAGGGAGAACTAATCATATGTGTATTCACTGTGGATTATATTAGATTATGCAGTTTCCCTGCAGGATAGATAATGAAGGAGAGGAGAGAGGAGTTTCTGAGGAATTCATTCCATTAAGAAACTGAGAAGCAAAAAAAAAGAGAGAGAGAGAGAGAGAGAGAGAGAGAGAGAGAGAGAGAGAGAGAAAGAAAGAAAGAGAGAGAGAAGCATATTAGGAGGAGCTCTGATTCCTGGGGTAATCTAGGTGCTGCTATCCAGCCTCTGCTTCAGGATGAGCACTCTCAAAAATCCATGATACCTTTGACACCTTTCAGATGAGTCATACTGTAAGTTTTGGGGAACTACTAGAGATTAATCTGTAGCTACATCCTGAGAAGGCAAGTGTGTTCCATGGTGGGTTCCATCCTAGATGGTTAAGTAACCTAGTAGTTAATTGTTGCCTGAACACTAACTTGATTTGTGTTAACATTTCTTAAAGGAGACCAATAGAAGCAACCAAATCATGCCATCGCCTTCACCTCCATCAGAACTTGACAGTAAAACCCACAGTGAAAGTACAAAACAGGTACTTTTTGCTTGGGACTGTGGTGGGCTATGGAGGCAGTCTGAGGACTGTGGGCTTCACAGACAATGCCCCAGCAGGTACCTCAGCAGGTGCCTTATGCATCATCTCCTGCCTGAGAGCTGAGCAGAAAAGGATACTTGCTGATACTTGGGAATTCTGTCTCTTCTGCATACTCTGCTTCCACCCTTGTGTCCACTAATGGAGTAAATTCCTTTTCACATCTTGAATCTTGAAAGATATAAAATGACCAGACTATCCTGAAACTATTACAAATAGCAGCCAGGGCAAGGGAAAGATGGGTGCAGAATCTAGAAAGATAGCTGTTTTAAACCACAGAAAGCTGTAAGAGTGCTGAGAAACATATTCTTGAAACAATGTTTTCTAAAGTCTGAAGACAAAAGACAGGAGAGGAGGACGGGAGGGATACTGGGATCAGAATGTCATTAAAGAGAGTAAAGGAAATCTTCTCTAAGAATTTCTGTCCTGAGTTTAATGCCCTTTAAAGCCTATAGTCATCATTCCTTTTTAAGTAGTAATCAGTACTAGAAGATGTCAATAAAAATCATTGAGTCTTGTACTAAATAATGCACTACTTGCTGTGCTTTTGTTACGTGAGCCAATTCGGTAATTGGTATTGTTCCTAAGGTAGTTTTGTTCTAACCAGTTAGGCTAATGGGACTTCAGTTAATAACCTATCATCAAGTGAGGTAAATGTTGGAAAAATAATTTCCAGATTCACCGCTTTGAGGGACCAGAGTGGGAGCTTGCAGAGAGTTCTCTTCTTCACCCTCCTATCTGACTAAAACCAAACAGCCCAAGAAAGGGTGTTGTGGGAACAGTTTAGAGTAGAAGAACAAAGCAAATCTAAACAGTTGGTGGTCACAGCCAGAAGTACCTTACCTCCTGTCCTGCTTGTCTAGTTGCAGTATTAGGTGGATCCTACAACTCAGTTTATTTCCAATCTAGGATATCCTGTACCTGTACAACTCCTTAGAGGAAGTCAACAGTACTGTAGTGGGATACCAGCGACAGAATGACCTTAAACTCAAGGGGATGAGCGAGACCCTCAGTAACCTGACACAGAGACTCAGCCTGATAGAAAGTGATGTGGTTGCACTGAGCAAGGCAGAACAAAGAACAAACGTGAACTCCAGCATGGTAAGCTTTTCAGATCTGCTCTGACATGTTCTATGTTGGTGTGTGTTCTCTATGCTTAGATGGTCTTCCCCATCCTCATGTGAACAGCAGTGTGCACACTTGAGAGACTACACGTGTTTTGTCCTTAACTTTCATCTGCTTTAATCCACACCACAGCTCTCTGAAGTGAGTAGCACAAGATGTACAGAGTGTGTTTGAAAGGGGTGATAGCAAGGGTCAGTTTAAGCACATCAACTCACTACAGCTTATTGGCAGAAACAACAAGTCTCTCACAGTGTTGCCAATCGTCCGTCAAGTAAGGACATGTGGGCATGTATTTCCTTTTCTTATTTTCTTTTCTCTTAAGATGTTAGAAGTGGTGAGAGTAGCAGATACTTGTGCCATTTTTTAAAACTTGGCTTACAGATTCATCCTGCTTCTGTCTGCATATTAGAGGAAGCCTTTTGCATATAATGTTAGGAAACCCGTTTAAACAGATGAAGTTGCTTCTATAAACAAACCCAACCAATTAGATCACACAGGAAAAATATATGAAAGGAGAAAGGGAATCAGTTGGGAAGGAGGACATTAGCAGGAGTCTGAGGAACACAGGGTTAATGGGGGAGTGGACTGAGATGATTATGATAAATATAATATGTACATAGATAATAAAAACATTTTTAAACATATGAAGTCAGAGCAGTTCAGCTTCCAAGGTCAATGAGTTGTTTTCTATGTTAGAGAACTGCGTGACCCACTAAATCACTAAAGCTTGCTGGCTGTGAGCCTTTCTGGTTTTCATGATCTCGTGAATAGTGTTTGCTTTTAAACATATTTCATCTGTACATCGTACTGGGATTTGTGGGGATCATTTCATTAACAGTAATAGGTTTCACTTTTAGAGGTTTCATAGAGCAAAGACGTGTACTTTTTTTTTGATGGAAATTATACTGTAAATTCAAGGAACAGTCAAAACTGGGAGCTAACCCACTCATGAGATGGAGCAGCCCTGGCACAGGGTAAGAAACACTTGAGCTGGCTCTGCCGCAGTGAACCTTGGCAAGCTGCCTGGAAATGACTTTGAAGGGTTGGGTAGAAAGACCTGTCCCCTTCTGCCTGGCCCTCCTGCTTTACAAGAGTGTGTAATTTACTACAAAGCTGTGAAGATTAAAGGAGTCCTAGTTTTTAAAGCCCTTTTGAACTCAGCTAAGCTAAGTAGGAGCTAAGAACTTCGGGTGATTTGATGAATAGTGTGCCTTGAAGGTTTTTCAAGGCTTAGTGTGAAAGCTGACCACCGTACCCCTTGCTGTCTCTGCCCTCCCCTTTTTATTTTTATCCAGCAAAGAAAATCTGTAATGGTACCCATCTGTCCTACTATTTCTTCCAACAGCGTCACACCAAGCCTGGGTCTGGGTAGAAGTTCTGTTGCCTTTTATACTGCAGTTTTAAAGTTTGTGAATAAAAAATTTAGATGCCTTTATTCCACTTTGTCTCCTTGTGCCCTTGCCATTCTCTTCTCCTGTTCCTTTGCCATTGTGTTTGAAGTGGTTCAGAGCCCTTTTATAAATCTGAGCGATTTGTTTAAGAAGTATTAAGTGTCAGGGTTGGAGAGATGGCTCAGCTGGTAAAGTGGATGTCACACAAGCATGAAGACCCAAGTTCACATCCCCAGCACCCACATAAAAGCCAGATACAGTGGCATGAATCGGAAACCCATTTGTTCTGAGGTTGAGCAGAGACAGGCTGGCCAGCCAGCTAACCAAAATGGCTACTTCCAGGTTCAGTAAGAGACCCTGTCTCAAAAACAGGAGTACACACACATACACACACACACACACACACACACACACACACACACAAATATTTGATGTCATTTAAGTTTTAATGTCTCTCCTTAACCTTTTCTGTTTTCTTTGCCCTCTAAGATGGGTAATAGGGCTGCCACTCTGAAAAGAGAGTTTTTGGTGACCAACAGAACTGATTCTGTAAAGATCCAAAGCCTAAAGGTAAGGAACTGGAAGCTTCTGTAAAGTAAAAACAAACACATAAGTGTCTCCATGATACCTAAAACCACCTATCCCCTCTAAAAGGGGCACTTTGATCTCCTGTGATAAACTCCAAGACAGAGCAGTTAGTAGGTTCAGGTATTGGTGAATGAATGAATATCACATCAAGTACATACCTTGTACTAAGCACTTTACTAGGAGCTGGGATGGCCACAGTGAATGTGACAGACACGTGACCCCTGTTGTGGCACAGCTCAAGACTGAACAGACAGTCACAAATCTGATCAGTGCTGCAGTGAAAAAGCATAGGGTATGATGCAGGCATTAAGAGGGATCAGGTTGGCGTTCCTAAGGAAACAACTATTAACCTGAGATGGTTATTGCCCTAGTTTGCTTTTGTTGCTGTGGTAAGCACCATGACCAAAAGCAACAGGAGGAGGAAGTTTATTACATTGCAAGGGTTCCAGTCCATTATCAAGGGAAGCCAAGGCAGGAGCTTAAAGCAGAAACTGTGGAGGAATGCCACACTGGTTTGTTTCCTCTGACTTACTCAGCTCCTGTTCATGTACAACTCAGGCCCGCCTGCCTTGGGATGGTGCCACCCTCAGTGAGCTGTGCTCTCCTATGTCAATTAGCAACTAAGGCAAAGCCCCATGTACATATCCACAGGCAGATAAAGGCAGTTCCTCAGTTGAGGTTCCCTCTTCCCAAGTAACACTAGTTTGTGTCAAGTTGGCAAAAATTAATTAGCACAATTATCTAAACTAACAACAGGGGACAGAGGCATAGATAATCTAAAAATGGTGTCCAGCTTAAAAATCCTTTCACGTTTAAATTGCATTCTTAACATTTTCAGAGTCCTGTTAAGTCCTGCTGAGATATAGGGAGAGCCAGGAAGATTGTGGCAGAGTTAGTACAGCATCATCTGAGACACACATAGTGTGTGAGTTCAGAGGATAGGAAGTTCGTAGGCCATGAACTTAACTAAAACCGTATTATAGAAGGTTTTGATGTAAAGCTTTCTAACTTTACTTTTTGATCCTTAGCAAATTTGTATTGTCTGGATAAAGTCACGAATATTTAAGATTTTGATACATTGTAAGGTGGGCTTTTATTGAGCTTTTGAACTGTTTGTATACTTTTCTTAAATATTGTTTAGGGAATGACAAAAACATTTTAAAAACCAGATTTAAATGTTGAACACAAAAAAGTAACAGATGGTTAATATTAGGAAGTAGTAGTGATTTCAACAGTAACTCATATCTTAACAGTCAGATCAGAACACAGCAACCACACTTCTACCTAAATCTCTGGCTTGACTTTTAGATCCCTTGTGTGTTATAACTGTCACACCAGTCAGTGTCTTCATGTTACCTCATCAAAGCATCCCAACCAGATTCAATTTCTGCTGTCAGTAAGCATTTAGTATCTAGGTTTGTTCATATGTTCATATTGGGTCTCTCTAAATAACGCCCCCTGCCCCCGTAGCCACTGTACAGCGACTCTCAGGATATACATAAAGATGGAACAGGGACTGTAAATTCTCTGAGTGAGGCATGAGATCCACTGGTGCTCCCAAACACAGGACCAGGCCTTTTCATACAGCAGACAGATGCCAGCCTCAGAGCTAGGCTGCCCTCTTTACAATTAAATCTGTTGTTTTATGTACCATACTAGATAAAGAAGCAGTGTGTGGATATGGAAGGTGTTAGACTCAAGTAACAGTTTGAATTAGAAATATTACAGCTCCTACTTTGTGTCTCTTACAATTCATGCCACCAGTTGAATCATTATAGTGGAGCATCAGGAATACTTGTGGTTTGATTAAGTTCTGCTGTTTTTTGTTTTGTTTTTAAGTTTTCCTTCAGATGACATGGTCACAAAGTACTAAGAGATATCCAAGGCAGCTTTTCAGTTAGTGTAAAATAGCTCCAGAAAACAGGGCCCCCCATCATTTAGGAAGCAGGTGCTACACAGGCACCTGAGTAAGGGTACATTTTCTTTTCTGCTGACACATGCATGCCTTCCTCTATCAGTGGACTGTTCACAGTAAAACAGATTATAAAAAATGTAATATCCCTGTAATGATCCAGCTTTAAACTCAGCTGTACACTTAATCAGCACTGAGCCCCAAAGATAGCCCTAGTATTTGTCTATCCCTTTATTGACCTAAGAGGGGACTGGGTGACGGTCAACCTTACTTGCAGAATGTGCTTTGGGAATACAGCAAAGGCTCTGGTGAGGTATTAACCCTACCTTAAACCTTATCTGATCTTTGTTTTGGGCAGAAAGAAGATAATTCAAATTCTCAGGTATCCGAGCTTCGAGAAAAACTGCAGCTGATCAGTGCTCTCACAAACAAACCTGAAAGCAACAGGCCTCCAGAGACCACAGATGACGGTAAGCAGCTAGCTAGCTTCTGAATATTTCACGCAGGCTTGGGCACCCTGTCTCCCACACAGGGAGTAGGGATGATGTCCGCCAGCACTGATGGAACCGAGTGAGTGATGCCCGAGCGCACCGAGCTGAGGCTGATGCACCTCGCTTTCATTTAGCAAAGCCCATTTTGTACTTGATTTGTACTCTAGTCTATTAAGGGGAGAACGGGTAATGTTTAGCTGGAAATAGACTTCTCCATGCTGCCTGCATCCAATTATAGGCAAAAATGTTACTGTCATAGCTTATATTAAACCAGTTCTAAATGTTATGTTTCCGTTACTGTGAGTGCATAAAATTTACTTAAATATTAGCTCTCCTCAAAGTCATTAACAGGTAATGATGGAATTCTTCAATTTGCAGGCCACTTGGCTTTAGGTAAGGACACACTAATCAATATTATCAGATTCATTAATTAACATCTACTGATTTAGGACTTGGGAGGCTATAACAAGATACTAGACAGTATTGGCTTTGACCTCCCTGGCTCAAGCATTCTTCAACTTTGGAGATGTAGAATAGCTTCCCTCAGATTCTCTCCTGTGAGAAACAGAACTATGTTGAAGGTCTTCTAACACTGGCTACATCTTACGATACAGCACTCTTATGGTATCATGGCTAGTGTCTCATGCCCCCAGACCAGACTTAGTAGCCTATTTCCCAAGAACTCAAAAGACTTATCCAACTCAAGTCTTCATAAATAAGCATAGATGATGATAAAACAGGTAGGGCCTAAAGTATGGTCAATTTGGGGTTCTTTTTTTTAATATTTGCAAGTTATCACTGAGTTGGTATTTGAATCTAAATACAAAAATTGATTCATGTTTCATACAGACATTGTTCACATACATATGGCCTGTTGCTAATTTTATTTGGTATTTTTAGGTCATCTTTATTTAACAATGACCCATCACATGAAGTCATACATGGAATTTTCCACCTGTATCTATCCTCTGAATGCTTTTGATTTGGGGCATTTCAGATTTTCAGATTAGGGCTACTCACCCTGTGCTAGGTTCTACTTCAGCCCTTAGTACAGTCCTGATCCCTCTTCACTTGTCCACACAACACTCTTCAGTCTCTACTAAAGTTACACTGCTACTTTAACTCTCAGCAACTTCTCTTAAATTAAATATACCTGTAATAGTACTAGAAGGTGACCTTTGATACTAATTTAATTTAGTGTTGGAATTGATTGTAATAAAGGTATGTGTATTTGCTACAGAGCAAGTACAGAACTTCACATCAGATCCTTCAGCATTGCCAGAATTTTCACAGCTTCTTGGAGACCAAATAGAGACCCAACTAAAACCTATCTCCCTGCCTGGGATATCTAACATCAAAGGTAATGTTAGTGGTAGAAATGTTCAAAGTCGTAACTGTTATAACTTGTTAATGTTTTTCTTGTTAAAAATAAAAGCATATCTAATGAACTGGAGAGATGACTCAGGTGGTTAAGACTTGAGTTCAGTCCCCAGAACCCATGTGAAAAAATCCAGGTGTGGTGGCACACACTTTTATAATTCCAGCACTGGGAATACGGAGGCAGGTGGATGCCTGGGGCTCAGTGTCCAGCCAGCCTAACCCACTTGTTGAGTTCCAAGCTAGTGAGAAATACTTTCTCAAAAACAGAAAAGTGAACAGAGGCCAGAGAGATAGCTCAGTGCATACATAGTAACACTCACAGCCTAATGACCTAAGATCAGTCCCCAGAACTAACAAAGACAAAAGCAGAGAGTTGACTATGAAGTTGTCCTCTGACCGCAACGTGTAACATGTGTACACCCACACACATCATACACAAACATAATAATAGTCTATTTTAAAAAGTGGGCAGTACCTGAGGATTGACACCTGAGATTGCCCTCTGGCCTCCACATGCCTGCAAATACACAGGAACACGTAGACGTAGACACACACACACACACACACACACACACACACACACACACACACACGCACACGCACACGCACGCACGCACTTTAAGTGTAACATTTTTGGGCCAGATACAGAAAGCTGCCTAAGTCTAAACAGCAGAGAATTGTTTGAGACAGAATTCAAGCTGAGGCTGACTCTAAAGCTTCCATACTGTCTTTCTCTTAAATGTTGTTTAAGGTCTTCAGTCATTCAGTAAGTGCCATCCCGACCCCATGTCAAAGGATGGAATGCATTGTAAGATACAGTGTCAGCCAGACACAGTGGCATATGCCTATAATCCCAGCTGAGGCACAAAGATAAAGAAATTGAGGCCAGCCTGTGCTATATAGAATGAGATCATGTCTCTAAAAATGTCCCTTTCTTTCCATAAGGACAGGTTGTGTAATCCAAAGGACAGAAAAAGCAAACAATTCTGTCAGATTAGCAAAACAAGTTAAAGTTGACTGTTTGCCTGCAACAGGCCCTCTGGGATTCTAACAGTGAGCAGAATAAATATTTATACAAAGGCTATATGTCATAGAACGATGTCTCCCTTGTTCCCAGTAGTGTCTTCTACTCTTCATTGTGATGTTGAGTCTTCCTGGTTGTCTCTTGCTGTCTGGAAAGTTACCCAGTTCTGACCACATACTTCTGCTGGTTCTTCACTTGAGTTCAGATGCCATTGTACATTATCTCCTGGGTCTGCAGCAGGTGTTTCCTGTACATTATGACGTGTTTTGTTTGCTCCTATTTAGCATATGCCACTCTGCTCAGATTCCCTAGGAAGAAACAGTTTAGCTTCCATGAGTAAGGTCTTATCCTGTTCACTCCCTAGCCCGTACCACAGAGCCTGGTAGACATGATTGTGTAACTGAATGAATGTGTTGCTTATTCATTCTCAATTAGTGCTTAACTACCACTACTTTTGCCCAGTCTGTGGTGGCTTTCCTTTGTTTTCTGGAGGGAAAGGAGAGTCACTGATTTACTCTCTATTAAGAGGAATCTCCGTCTAGCCATTTGGTGTAGGGAAGAAGTATCCCATCTGCTTTGCTGGCTCAGGGCACTTCTGAGGTCTCACCAGCTGCACTGTCAGGCCTGTGACAGGAGTGAGGAGGGCCTGTCAGGAATTTATAAGAATTCCTCAATGGAGTGGATCTTGCACAGAAATGGTTTTTCCTCCCTTCAGCACATTCAATCTTCCCAGGTACCAAACAGCAAGAGGCGTGTGAAGTCAAAGCATGGTCTTGAATAAATGAAGAAAAATAATCAGGAAGTCTTTTAAAGAAACACTAGTGACCTTCATTTCCTCAGTATTATAAATCTTTTCAGTGAGCATAAGAACTCAATCAAGTCTTTTTTATTTTTTATTTCTTCTATAATTCTTAGTTGTGTGTGCACTCTCAAAGGCCAGAAGCATCAGATCCTCCTGGAGCTGGAGCTGCAGGCAGTTGTGAGCTACCTGACAAGGATGCTGGGAAGATGCTGGGAACTGATCTCTGGTCCTCTGGGAAAGCAGTACAAACTCATGACCACTGATCCATCTCTCTGAAACCCCTTTTGGATTTTTTTGGTTGGTTGGTTGGTTGGTGTTTGTTTAAAGATTTTTTGATTTTTTTGTTTTTGTTTTTGTTTGTTTTAAGACAGCTTGATGTAGCCAGGTTGGCCTCAATACTCTGTATATCTACAGCTGGCCTTGAACTCTGGATTACAGGCATACACCACCACCCCTGGGTCAAATCGTTTTAAATGCTAATGGCTTTTGTTGGAAATTTTCTAATGCCATTTTCTAAAATAGTATCTTAGGTTTGTTTGGTTATTTTTTTTTAAATACAAATCAACTGGTAGCATTAACTACCAAAAAATAAATACACAAAGGCAGACAGAGAGTCCTATGGTTCTTTTTTAATGGAGATATTCATATTCTATGTCACCCTTTCGCATGGGCCTTAGTGTGATCTCAAGGTTATACAGCCATCACCTTGACTTAATTCCATAGCATTTTCATCACTCCAGAATGAAGCTTCATACTCATTTAACAGCCTCTCCTGAGGCTGGACAGACGCCTCAGTGCTTGGCATCAATCCTGACACCCTGAGCAGGAGCCACATAATAGAAGAAGAATGCCCACTCCCAGAAGTTCTCCTCTGATCTCCACATGCACCTTTTTGTGTATGCATGTACACATATACAATAAACAAACAAGTAAATAAGGGAGAAGTTTAAGTTGCTCTCCAGTTACCCTTACTGTCTCAATAAACTTATGTATCTGGGATATTTTGTTTGTAGAAATGGAATCATGTAATCCGTGGCCTTGTGTATACTTCTTTTATCATAGTGCTCTTTTCATATTGTGGCATGAAACAATACTTCCTTTCTATAGCTGAGTAATAGTCCATTGTATGCTATATTCACACTTGGTTCATCCATCTATCAGTTGATACATATTTGGGTTGTTTCTAGTTTTTTACAAATAATAATACTGCTGTGAACATGAGGGTATAGATTTTTATAGAAACATATGTTTTTCTCTTGACCTAGTACCTAGGAATAAAATTGCCAGGTTGTACAATTCCTGAACGGCCAAACCATTGTTCAGAACGTGACTTCCAGTTGACATTCTCATTAGCCCTGTAATCCCCACATCATCATTGTTCCTAACGGTGGCTGTCCTGGTGATCATCTCTCTCCCTTCCCTTTCTTTCCTCCAAACCCTCACATATATGTCTCCTTGCTCTCTTTCAACTCCATGGTCTCCTTTTCTTTAATTGTTGTTGTTGTTGTGTGTGTGTGTGTGTGTGTACACATACATATTCCTAACTATGACCTGCTCGATCTGTATGTATAGTGTTCCTCATATGTATGTTTTCAGGGCTGACCATTTGGTATTAAACAACCAATTGATGTGCTCTTCCCTGGAGAAACTATTTTTCCTACTTTCAGCATCTTGCAGTTGCCTATATGTATATAGTTTTTTGTGTAGGATTGAAGCCTCATGGGGTTTATCCCGTCCACTTTGGTGTGTCTCTTGTTGCTGTCCTTGTTCAGTTCATAGTTAGACAGTCACGTAGGTGAGACTTTATAGTGTCTTCTGACATTCCTAAGAGACAGTCCCAGGGTAAACCTGCTGATCCACTGGCGCTTATACTCTTTCTACCCTGTCTTCTGCAGTGTTCCTAAGCCATAGGTGTAGGAGCTATTTTATAGATGTGCCCATTGGAACTGGAGTCCACTCTGCATTTTGATTGGTTGTGGTTTTCTGTAATGGTTTCCATTTGTTACATTTATCCGTGGATGTAAGGACAAATATTTAAAATGTTGTTAGAATTTATTCTGGTGGGTTCTCCTCCAAGACTCATGACTTCACTGGGCCTGGGTAGTTGACGGAGTTTCCAGGACTAGACACAGTTTCCCTCTTAATTTAAGCAGGTCCTAAGTCCAATTAGAGAGCTGATGGTTATTGCCAACATATGCATGCCACTACTGCACCCATGGGGTTATCATCCCACGCTGGTCACCGTGTGTTCCATAATCACTGTATCTATGTGGCACTCTTGGTTGCTTCCCTCCTTTGGAAGCTTGATTGGCACCTCTGGTACAAAAAACCTAGTCCTTAGAGCAGAAGCATTCAGTGGTTAGATGTCACACAGTAGGTGTCAATGCCTTAACCATATGTGTGTTGTTAGGCCCAACAGCCTCTTCCATACTTGTCAAGAGGAGTGCTAACCTTCTCTCTTTTCATACAACACAAGCATTCAGGTCAGTTCCAGCTCAGGGGCCTCTGACTCTGTGTCTGAAGTACATGGTATCTTGAACAATAGGAACTTAACCTTCCAACCAATGGCAATGGTAGCTATTTGGGGGAGTTTTGGAGAGTCTCTTGAATAAACCTGACCAACAGCAAAAAGAGGACTTCTTATGCCTAATATTGAGGTTTTCTTAGGTGGTCTCTTGTAGGGGATCATTGTCAGCCTAGACAAGGAAATTTCATTTAAACTGTATATGTATATTTACACATAGAATTAATATATTATAATGGGGCTTTTTTAGGCAAATAGTTAATAATATGATTCCTATGACTTTTTCAGACATCCTTACTTATTTTACCTTTCTCCTTCCTTCTGTGTTTATCTCCCTCCCAAGTTCCTGATTCTTCAATTACTTAATTTCTAGATCTAGAAAGACAAATGTTACCTAGTAGAAAGATCACCATACTAGGTAATATTTGTTACACTTCAGTGCTTTTCAAAGTTGTAAATGCTAGGTCCCCAAGAGGCAGGCTGGGTTGTTGGTTGTTGTTGGTTGCAGTTGGTCTCCATTTGTTAAGTAGCCAGACTCAGAAGAAACAAGAAAAAAGAAAAAATTAGGTGTCTTGATGGCAAAGATCAAACTTGTCCCAAAGAACTAAACACCCCTAATCAGCAGGAAGTAGTCTAAGGATAATGTTGCCCGCTCTCCCTTTGTCTTTTTTTTCTCCCCTATCTAGTGTTGGGGGTTGAAAGGGTGGAAGGAAAAAAAATAGCTACAAAGTAGCCAAATACTGGCTACAATTGATCTTTGTATTTTATAATTGTCAGAACTGAGAATGCCTTCTCACATAAACATGTAGTACAAAATAGCAAAAGTGTCTTTAGAACCATTTCAGAAATTGAAAACTAAAGTCAGCAACTCAAATAGCAGTTTTAAAAATTGAATATTCTAACAATACAACCAAAAGATGCACTGGTTTGATACATGCTAAAGAACAATGGCAAGAAAATATTGAAAGTCTTTGTTTTCTACAAACTATTATGTTTCTATAAGAAGAGAAAACTTGTTGGTATATACTATAAAAGCACTGCAGTTCACAGCATACAGTAGACTGAAATCCAAAGCAAAGTGCCTCAGGCACCATTTAGTGGCGTGTGGCATGAGGCATATGCACTGTCGAGTATATATTGTGTGTCAGCACATTGTGTACTGCAGCACAGGCTAGCAGTTCCAGAAACACCTCAGACTTGTTAAGCATTTAATGTTTGTTCACTAAATGTTAAGAAATCTTTTACTGTTGCCAAACATGACCCCAAACTGCAGGTACATAACTCCCATATGGGTTTTCATCTCACAGTGTAAGAAGCTATGCAATATAGTATTCCTCTCCTTTTTAAAGGATCAAAATTTATCATTCTTGGTTTTTTTTTTCCTTATTTCACATCTGTATGTGCATGCATGTGTATTTCGTTTATGTGTCTATATACATGTTTACATCTATGGGTACGGGTTTTGTGTATATGCATGTTTATCTGTGTGTGACTTGTACACATGTACATGTGTGCACATATATTTGGTGGTCCCACACTGATATCAGGAATCATCTCCATTGCTAGTCCTGCCTCACCCAGTCAGTCTTTCAGTCAAGCCTTGGGCTTACTGGTAGGGCTAGTCTCAATAGCCAGCTTGCTCTAGGGATCCTGTCACCACTTTCTGAAGTTGGAGTTACAGAAAGGCCATCATGACTTCCTGGCATTTGCATGTATTCTGGGGATCCAAACCCTGGTCCTCACTCGTGCATGATAACAAGCACTTTACCCACTGGGCTGGGGAGTGCAGGGGGAGACTGCTTCTTGGAGGCTAAAAGAGGTCATCTGATTTCCTGGACCTGAAGTTACAAGTGACTGGGAGCAAAACCCACAGTCCTAGAAGAGCAGCAAGCACTCTTAACCACTGAGCCATCTCTCTACCCCTGCCAGCAAGTTGGGAGAGTTGTTTTGTTTTGCAGGGGAAGGGCTTGAGATAAGGTCTCACCATGTAGCCCTGGCTGGTCTGGAACTTAACTGTGTAGATGAGGCTACTCTCAAATCTACAGAGATCTGCCTGCCTCTATCCACCCATTCCCAAATGCTGAGAGTAAAGACGCTCACCACCACACCTGGCAAAGTAGCCTTTCTTTTAATCCTGGGAAATCAGTTGAAGCTACTTCTAACTGTATGCATAAACATACTACATGTCTGTTTCATAATTTCCATTTAACAGAGCTTCAGGATTTATTCCACAAGACTGGTCAAGATGTGAATGGGATGCTGACCTACCAGGAACTCTGGAATTCCCTAGGCTCTGCCATGCCAAGACCAGAAAGCTTGAGCGCATTTGATTCCAATGGAGATGGGAGATATTCTTTCCTGGAGCTAAAAGTAGCTTTAGGTATCTAGTCTCATCAGGCATATTTGAAATGCATGTGTAGCCTGGACTACCTAAAATCTACTTACCTAAAAAAACAAACAAACCTCCTGACTAACTCATCAGCCCTCCAGCCCTTCATACTACTGTAGCAAACACATTGTCACCTTTTAACTTGTTTGAAAATGCTATTTAAAAAAAGATATTTTTTTAAAAAAAAATTTACTTAAAATATGATGTTTGGAAATCTATGATTTCATGAAGCCAGTGAGATCTTGTAACTTAAAGTTGCCAGGAAAAAAAAAATAAAGCCCTTTTCTCTCTTTCCTGTTTTTAAGGGGAAGAGAATTTACCTTTTAAAGCTGGAAAGTGTGTGTATAGAGAGGTAATAAGTCACTGTCTATATTTCATATGAATTTGCCTTAAATTAGCTGCACTTTATAGAGCCTCAGAATGTCTTCTCTTTGAAAGATGAGTCTTTTCTGTTTGTAAATATAGAAAATGAAAGATTGCGCATATTGTGTAGAAAGTCAGATGATTGGCTATGAATGAATGACTTTTTATGAGTAATTGACAGTCTGCTGAGGGGGGGGGCAGCTGAAACTCTTCACATCTCCTTAAGGCAACCCTCAAATGCTTGGGCACTACCATGGGGTTTGAAGCTGGGACATCAGTTCAGGTATGGATGCTGTGCAGAGGGTGCCAGTTCCAAGCTCAGGAAAGTCAGATTCTGGGCCATTGCTCCTATTCCTAACCTAAGAACCAGAGAAGTCTTACTGGGATTTTCCTCATTTTTAATTATCTTTCAAGGATTATGAACATAAAAGTTACTCAGTGGGAAATTATGTTTTCCCCTCAGATAAAGAAGACTGTCTTCTTTACCCACCCACTCCAGACTACCTTAAAGTTGTAACTGCCTACCTTCAGCACCGTGTCCAGTCTGTTCATGACTTTGGGTGCTATCCCAAACTAGTTGCCCAGAGCACTAGAGAAAAAGCTCTGAGTTTCGACTTGGGAAACAAGTCCCTTTGGGTTTTACCTTTAGGATAACAAAGAGCTTGCTCTATTTCTTGGCAGGATGCCTAAAGCCAAAATGTGGTCAGATGAAACATGAAATCTTACTCTTTCCTCATACTTGTTCACTCAGAGGGAGCCATGGGTTTTCTGTCCAGAGGATACCACATGGAGCAGGCATGCTTGGAGCAGGAGCCTTCTGGTGATGGGGGCAGTTTTCTCAGATCTAAAAAGCAGGTGTGATGTTTCTCTCTTTACATGCCTTTTGGGTAGGTCAGGAACAGTCTGAGTAGAAGGAAATCACCATTCACCGACGTGTTGAGAACACTCCCAGTGTTGTTCTTAGGAGTCACTGGGCAACTCCAGTAGAAGACCTTCCAGAACTACATGTGGCTGTAGCCAGTCAGGGAAACCCTGGAGAAGCTGCTATGATAGCAGGCTTCTTTAGCACAGGTGATTCCTTGTTAATTTTGTTCAAGTTGCCCTGTCAGCTGTAGATACAGTCTAGTACCCTTAAACCTTCAAAGACATTTGGTTTTTGCTTTTGCTTTGCTTTGCTTTGCTTTGCTTTGCTTTGCTTTGCTTTGCTTTGCTTTGCTTTGCTTTGCTTTGCTTTGCTTTGCTTTGCTTTGCTTTGCTTTGCTTTGATTGATTTGATTTTTATATTTTGTTTCTTTTATATGATATTCACCTTAGTGTTTGGCTCTTTTTTTTTTCTAGACATATTAAAACTCAGTGAAGGCAAGATACGTTTTCCTGTGCATGAGTCTTCCTAGCTCATGTTTCTCCCTCTTTAAATTTTTTGCCTTAATGTTTGCCTTGCTCGTCTATGCTGTCACCTTCTTGGCAAGGTTAAAAATACAATTCAACATTATCCTGGCTCTTTAGGTAACTCTTGTTCTTCTGGCTGCCTTCCGTACTCCCCCTTTTTAATATATATATACCCTTACAGATTTTGTAGCAACCAAATAAAGTTCTAGCAATAAATTGAATTATTCTGCTATATTTGTACATATTGTACCATAAATAGTCTGTCTGTACCTGCAAGGTATTTTTTTTTGAGAACTGATTTATATGAAATATACTGAGGGTAATGTAGCTTGTCCTTTTTAGTTTCAAGTTCTTATTTGTAGGCAGATACTTTCAAGCCACCTTAACTCTTTGTGGTATATGCTTTTCAGTGAGGAAGCAGGATTTGTTTCTTGGTCTTTCTTCTGGTTTTTCCATGTCAAGCTTGTCTGCCAGCATCACCCCTGAACCATGTGATATCTCCTACCAAATTGACCAGAGGTAGCCATAATTGTCTCTGACCTATTATACCCTTCTCATCCTGCCTGTGGCATTACCGGATCTCTTGGGCAGAGGTGGGTATCTTATTCTCCTTTGCTAAAAATTGGACAGACTCACTGGCTTAGGAACCCCAAAAACCTATCAATCAGTGAAGATTGGGTCTTCATTTGTTTATTGTCTTAACTTGTGCATCCAGTGCCTTGTGTTAGTCAGGCTTCACCAGCCACAGATCACCTCTAAGACAAGAACCCAGTGATAGTGGTGGTGAGTTTGGCTTTGGATTTCAATCCTTTGGCCTTATCAGTCAGTAGCTCAGAATACTTCCCACCTTAGTTTCTTAACATATTACTCCTTGGTCCTTTGCTTTATTGCTGTGTACCATCTACCACAATATTTACTGAAAGACCATCCACAAGCCAGTCATGGTAGTACGTACCTGTAATCCCAGCCCTTGGGAGACTGAGGCAGGAAAATAATGAGTTCTAGTCCAGTCTGGCTACCTAGGGAGATCTTGTCTCAAAAAAGTACCTGGCTTAAATATGATTGCAGTGACCTTCAGGTGGAGCAGAGCAATGGATGCTTGGCACTGGAGAATAGGTCTAATGCAGAAGAGCCAAGGCAGACAGTCTCACTTCACTACCAGCTCTTTTCCCTTCCATTGCAGTTTGCGCTCTACCGTTGCTGGACACAGCCCCATCAGCCCCCTCCCTGGTCCCAGCGTCACAGTTGAAGATTTTGCCTGTGATGGGCTCACACTCATAATGGCCTATTGAGTTGTTTTTAGTGACAGCTTTTGTTTGCTACACACCTCATTGGCTTGCTTGCCAACCATCTAGATGTGGTCCCTTCTCTCATATTCAAGCCAGAACACATTTGAGTATTCCTGAGACTTTCGAGAGCGTGTATTGTTTGTTATATAAACCTGACCTACCTTGTTGTTTTCTCATATTAAGAATTGTAAATCTACTTTATATTAATGGAACTATTTTGGTAATATATAAGCAATTTTGGTTCTGCTTAGAGAGTGGTTTCAAGGTTTCCATGACTTCATTTGAGCATTACTTATTTCCTATCAATATAGCCATTTTAATTTAAATAAAACATTTCCTTTCTCTCACTGTGTCTGACTAAAATCTTCCCTGCTCCCTTGATAATTAGAGGGAAAAACCTGCTTTAATCTTTATTTTAGTGGACTGCTTGCTTCCTCCTCTTGAAATCAAGCACTATTAGTAGGTGGTACAAAACAATCGAGAATCTGCTTTAGGATTTCGTCAAGGAAGCTCCTAAAACTAACAGCAACAACAAGAAGAAGCAAGAATTCTCTCTGCCGCTGATTGCCCACCAGACTCCTCTGTAAGACCTTTGCTGAAGATACCTCATCCTCTGTTCACAGGACAGAAATCAAACTGGAACTGCTCCGGGAGTTTCCTTCCTGATGGATAGCCATCATAATGCATGAAGGTACTCCCTCAGGCTGCTGAGGGAGAAAAGCCATCAACAGTCATCTGTGGGCCCTGTGTGCAATACTGCTGACCAGCTAAGCAAGATGTGCCCACTGGTACAATAGGAGCAACTCTTACAGGAATAACCAACCAGTTTCTGTTTGGATTTGAGGCCCACTCCACAACAGGGAATTCATAGTTAATATCATAATCCTAATCAAAAGCCTGTGGCTAGGAAGGTCCTAGGCCACACTACAGAGACCCATAATCAGTCAAAGTGAGGGTTGAATGTCCATCCCTAAATGAGGCATTTATATAGCCCCTCTGGGTTCAGGGAGACTCAGAAGAAAAGGTAGACAGAATAAAGGAGCTGCAGGAAGTCGGGGAGTGGTTTAGAATACTGACTTTGAGCTGGTGTGGCTCTTGAATTCTCAAACCCACTATAGCTGTGACTACCTGCACAGGACTGGGCCTGCCAACAAACACCCTGGATCTGGAAGGAGCTCCTGGAGCCACCACCTCTCTCTGAGGACTTAAATGTAGTTAATGAGTGCTATGGGAGGGAAAGTTATTCTGTAGCCACTGGTAAGCAACCCTAATGAAATTCATTGTTTGATGGGTTTTCAGTTTTTGTTTTTTCAAAAAAGACATGAAAGCATTTCAATGTTTGACCTGAATGCAGCAAAGCTCAGGCTTCAGTCATCTCAGGGATGAGAAGAAAGGCTGAGGAGTTAGCCTGCTCTGGCATCCATCAGAAGCTCCATCTAGGCCCATTTTATGCGTTCAGATGGTTCAGTGGTTAAAGAACACTGGCTGCTTTTCCAGGAGACTCATGTTCAATTCCCAGCATTCACATAGAGGGTCACAATTGTCTAAGTCCAGTTCCAGGGGATCTGATATCCTCTTCTGACTTCCACAAGCATAGACACATATGAAAGTAAAACATCCATACACATGAAATTAAAGAGAAAATTTAAAGATAGAAGCAATAATGCCAAGTATGGGGACACAACCCTCTAATACCAGCACTCAGAAGACTAAGGCAGAAGGATCCGGAGTTTAAGGGCACCTAAGTTCCAAGCCAGCCTGGACTAAAATAGTGAGCCCTCATCTCAGAAGATGGAAGAAAAAAAAAGGGTAAGATACAAACTACAGGTGTAATTCCAGAAGATGCTCTGACCCGTTTGCCATTCAAGTTAATGACAACCCTTACACACTAATGCTTTTAGCCACTGTTCTAACAAGACGATGGTAAGCAAAGACACCATGGGGTATGGTAGAAATATGAGAAATTAGATGTCAGGAAAATGTGAACTGGAGAGCTAGCTGTAGAACAACAAAGCCATATGCCCTGGAAACCCAAGTCTGCATCTGAACAGGAGGGTCAGAACTGCCACTTGGCATTGTTCTTGGGAACAGTAGAGACAAAGGACAAAGCCGGCTAAGAATCAGTACATGGTAAACAACAGTCCAGCTCTACCGTACTGGCATTTGTTAGGCCTATGACAGTCAGTTTGGGCCACCATAGCTCTCAACAACTGGCCTCTCTCATGGCATCTGTGCTTCCCTCCTACTGAACAACAGTACCTGGAGACCTAGGTCAGAGCCCGGCACTCACTCTTTCAGGCTTAAGTACTAGATGGAGGGATATTGCGTCCAGCCACTAATATTGGTTCAGTGTCCCCCAAATGCTAATCTCCAGTTCCCATATGCAGTGGTAAAGCTTATAACCAGCTTGATTTACAAAGCATAACATCACATTGGCTGTGACAAAAGGCATTGCCCTTCTAGGAGCAAATGAGACAGAGGAGAAACTTGGACTTTATTTTTTTTTTTAAAGTCTGTGGCTTTAAACCTCTCACCAGGTGGCTCTGACCTCCTTGTCAATACCAACTCCATGAGGTTATCTCTGTTTTCTACCAAAGGGAGCCTTTGGTACTTGCAGCTCCCACCCTCAATAAGAGGAAACTACAGCTCTGAAGCAAAAGGCTTGGCATTAAAGCAGTTTGTTCTGTGGGCCAGTGTTGGGAGGGAAAAGAAGTGAACATTCCTTTCAGGGCTGTTGGCCAAAGGGTAGGAGACAGAGTGGTCCAACATGGGAGGCAGGTGGCAGAGGGATAGGGCAAAGGGCACCTCCTGAAAGATGGGAAGTGGGAATGGGGAGTCAGTCCGAGGCTGTGGCATTGTTGAAGACAGGGGCTGCTTTGGAACCCCCAAAACATGTTGCAAGAGATCAGAGGCTTCACCTCTGAGGCTGCTGTCTTGCTCAATGTAGCTCCTGTCTTCAGAGATATCCAACTCCCACAAAGAATCTGGATTCTGAACTTCAGGCTCAGTCTTGGTGACAGCAGGGGGAGGGCCTGTGTTAATGGCTACATTCATGCCATGGTAACGCTGTTTGTTTATCCAGTACAACAGTGGGCTGTAGGTGAATATGGCAGCTCTCATCACTTCCACCCACTGCTGGGCACGTTCTTCTCTTTGCAAGTTCTTCTTCCAGTGCAGAAAGAGTATGCAGCTTCCTATTAGCACAGAACACAGCCCCAGGAACCCAACGCACAAGAAGATCCACACTAAGGCAGTGAAAGAGAGAAAAAGGTTGGCTGGCTGACATGCCTAATATGCGCTGTTTCTCACTCCCCTCCTTGACCTCCTCAGTAGTCACTCTTCCTGTTCTCTCCATTCCTCCACTCCCTCCTCATTCTCCAGCTCAACACTAGACTTCCAGGTTCCTTAAGGGATCATTTTATTTATAGGAGAGAAACACTAGGTCTAAAATGGGTAAGGATTCAGCCTCCCAGGAGTCCTCAGTTTCTAGAAAAGATAATCATCTAATTGCTTAGCACTTCAAGAAGCCACCACTCCTTCATCCCTGCAAAAGATTTCCACTAACTGCCCCCATGCCCAAGGGAGCAACATGTGAGGTAGAGACTAGAGGTGCTACACTTACTGCCAGAGAGGCTTGGATCCTTTTGGGAATCCATAAAGGTCAGTCTCAGCCTCCAGCCTATCACTATGGGGAGAGGAAATTCACGGGACTCCACCAATAGGAGTCCTCAGAAGGCCCAGGCCTCATTGTTCTCTAAAGGAAAGGTCATAGGGTTCTGACCAACTGGCATTCCAGGGGCAATGTTTGTGGAGCCCATGTTTACTAGATGTCCAGTGATATCTAGTAAACAACGACCTACTGCTTCTACCAAAGACTGAGGCACCAGGAGAGTTGTCTGTCCAATTCCTTACAGTGAACCCATAGAGTAGCCCCAGGACAGGGCCTTGGCATTCTCAAGGGGCTAACCATGGGGTTGGTGATTAAGGAAACACCACTGGGTACCTTCCCCAGTGCCGACTGGGACAGAGCACACAGCATTGGACATGTCTGTCCTCAACAAATCTTGGACCAAGCTGTCAGAAGAAAACCAGCTCAAGAGTACCAAGTGGTCAGTGCCTCCTTTGGCTCCTACAATCTCTTTTATTTCTGCTTTCTTTCCTTTCTTCAACAGGTGCTAGCAAGTGTTCTTGGGCTCTGAGGGAGCTCTCCTCTATCCGGTCTTGCATCCCCTTCCAGGCTAACTTTCTTTCCTTTATTCTGCATACCTCCATTCCCTTCTGGCCAGGCCATCAGACATCCCCCTACACACACACACACACACACACAGAGAGAGAGAGAGAGAGAGAGAGAGAGAGAGAGAGAGAGAGAGAGAGAGAGAGAGACAGACAGAGACAGACAGAGACAGAATGAGCGAGAGAGAGACAGAAAAAGAGAGAGAGAGAGAGAGAGAGAGAGAGAGAGAGAGAGAGAGATCAGTCCTGCTGTGTAACAAACAGTCATTTCAGTTCTCTTCGTAGAAGAAATTTGGAGTTATCTAGTCCAACTCCCTTCAGATGTCTGAGCCCAGTTGGAGCAGGTCTCACTGGCAACTGATACCCTAGGATTTATTGGAGCTAGGGTCTTGCTCATTACATAAGGCAGCTTGATCCACTTATGGGTAGCTCAGTTAGAAAGCCCTTACACGTTATATCTCAGTCAACTCCCAGGGGAATATACCAACCAGTCCTAACTTGAAATCTTAACATTTCGTTTTTCTACTTTTTATAGTCTCCCATTGTGACTCGAGATACTTTTGTATCTCTGTGACCCATATACCAGACAGAAACAATGTTAAGAGGAAAGGTTTAATTTAGCTCCTGTTTCAGAGGGTTCCATAGTTGCTGGGTCTCGTGTGAGTGGGTGGGCCATCATGGCTGTGATGGAACTTGTGGTAGAATACAGCCGTTCACATCACAGCAAACAGGAAGCAGAGATCAGGGCCAGAGCCAAGGTCTGAGCTATAGCCTTCAAAGTCCTACCCCATGTGACCTCATTCTGCCCAACCTCTTCACAGATTCCACAGCCTCACAAAATAGTGCCACTAGCTGGGGACCAAGTGTTCAAAACATGAGCTTACTAAGAGCATTTCAGAGTCAAACTAGGGCAGGCACTATTTACAGAGTTCCTCCCAGAATGCCTTTCCCTCGGCTCTTTCTTCTTCTTTAGCTGGTGTCTTCCACTATCTCCTAAGTCTTGGCATGCTCCAGGGGTCAGTCTTTAGCATTCTATCTACATGCCCTTCTCAGTGGACTTAACCATATTTACAACATTAAAGAACACAAATATACTGATAATTCACACCTTTATACCTCCAGCCTGGAACATATCTCAGAACTTTGGATTCACATATTCAACATTCTGGCTGACATCCTTCCTTGCCTATCTATTAAGTTATACTTAACCCTGGGCTTTAAGGTAGGACAAATTACTCACCCTTGGAGGTTTCCATTTTTGCTGCATGTACTCCAGGTTCCAGCAGTCAGAGTGATCCTTTGAAGAGGAACCCATGTTAGTCCTCTGCTCAAGCTTCCCATCTCAGATCAAAAGCTAGGTCTTAACCATGGCCTTCAAAGCCCTGAGCAATTTAGCCACTCAACTCTGTGTCATCGCTACCTCTGTCTCCTCAGCCATGGGGATAATAAGCTCTTGCTATTTTATAGCACTATAAAACTATAGTGTTTTGCACTTGCTGGCCCCCTTTGCTAGTCTGTCCCTGCAAGTATCCATACAAATCATTCGCTCATTCCATTCTAATCTCTGCTCAAGCAATGCCCTATTTGTGTGTCTCTTACTTTTCTTTGCTTTTCTACATACAAGCATTTATCTGGTTCCAATAAAATGTAAATTCCATGGGTTTATGTAAACATAGTGCTTGCATTAGTTACTTTGCTGTTGCTGTGATGATATTAAAAAAAAAAACAAAAAAAAACCACAAGTGACGCAATTTATAGACTGAGAGCTGGTTTTGTTTGTTTTTTGTTTGGGGGTTGTTTTGTTTTGATGGTAGTATTTTTGTTTGTCTGCCTTGTGGTTCCAGAAAGGGGGTCCATAATGACAAAGGAAGCATGACAGCAGGTGGCTGGGGCAAGAAGCTGGATATCCTTATCCATATGCATGAAGCAAAAAGCAGTGACTGAAGTGGGGAAGCCTACAAACTCTTAAAGCCTACCCCTGTGATAGACTTCCTCCCACAAGGCTCCACCTCCTAAAGGTTCACAGTCTCCCCCAACAGGGGAACAAGTGTTCAAATACCTGAGTCTCTGGGAGGCATTTCTACCTCACACCACCACAGATCTAAAGTTTTAGATGGTTATATCTTCTGTAAAAAATAGAGTGGGAAGAATTGGGGATTTAGCTTAGTGGTAGAGTGCTTACCTAGCAAACACAAGGCTCTGGGTTCAGTCCTTAGCTCCAGGGGGGAAAAATAGAGTGGAATAACAGGGATGACAGAGTAAAATAAGGGGGGGTGGGGGAGACACAGCTAAGCAGGTTAAAAGCACTTGCCATGTGACCTTGATGACCTGAGTTAGGTCCCTGGAAACTGGAAAGGAAGAGGGGAGAGCCTACTTCACAAAGTTGTCTTCTGACTTCCACATGTGACTCACCACACTTCAACACAGTTGGTTTTTTTTTTTTTTTAATGATGGGGAGGTTCCTCAAGAAGTCTCTTTGAGATGCTGAGAGAACTGAGTTCCAGACAAGGAGGAGGCAATGCATGCCTGTTTGAGCATTGGAAACAGCACATGGAAGAATCTGAAGCCAGGAACAGGCCAGCAAAGTCAGACTTCCATAATCTCCCACTGCATTGTCCCAGCATCGAGAGTGATGTCTGAGCGCAGGCTGTATTGAACAGTTTGGAGTCTGTTCCTGCCTTAGTTCAATTAAATGCCAGGACGGAACCCAGACTTTAGAGGCATTGCATTTTTAAAAAGCTCAGCTCTTAGGTGGAATGTACTACTTTAATGGTTTGCAGCCGGTTTAGCTTCTCCATCTGTAAAATGAGGTTAATATCTATTTCATAGGGTATAAGGCCAATGGAAACCTTCTGCAAATAGAAACCGATAAAGAGAAGCTTCAGCTATGATGTTCAAACATCCTTTGCAGCTAAAGAAACTGTTACAGCTAGTGGCAAGTAAATTTAGAAAAGGGGCAAGCCCGGTGAGAACCCGAAGATGCAAGCCAGCTTTCCAGAAGAAGCCTGGCGCGCAGAGGCTGCTGGTCTGGGGGTGGGGTGAATCCCGGCAGACTCCCGGGAGGAGACGCGCCACTACACCCACAGAGCGGGTGGGCAGAACCGAGAGCCGCCAGCCCTAAGCGTGGCTATCCCTTCTCAACACCCGGAACCTTGAGCGCGCGGAACCTCGGTGGCGGAACGCGGGCCTCGCGGACCTTGAGGGCGATGGAGCAGGCGCGCGGGCCGGGGGCCGAGGCTGACGCGCCTGAGGAGGAGGAGGGGGAGGCGCAGGCGGCCATGGCGGCTGTAGTGTCCGCTGCGGGTGGAGCGTGCCCCGCCGTCCTGCAGGTGGCCGGCCTCTACCGAGGCCTGTGTGCAGTGCGCAGCCGCGCCCTGGGGCTGGGGTTCGTGTCACCAGCACAGTTGCGCGTGTTCCCGGTACGCCGGGGCTCGGGCCTGCCCTCCGGGGGAGCAGATGGCAGTGGGGTCAGCGAGCTGGAAGCTAACCCCTTCTACGACCGCTACCGGGACAAGATCCAGCAGCTGCGCAGGTGCGGGCCTGACCGGGTGGAGGTGGGAACGCGCGGCGGCAGAGCTTCCAGAATGCGCCACTATCCTTTACGGTGGACTTTGCTGTCCCCACCATACCAATAGTTTGCTTCCAAGTTTAGAGAGATCAGGTCACATCTCTGCAGATCTTTCCACAGTCGTCTTTGTGCTTAGTTCTCAGAACTCTCAGGAAGACTCTTTAAAGTCCTGTGAGGAAGACAGCTCTTGAGAAAGTTATCCCCTATGTAGAATTGTGAAAATGAAGCCCTTCAGCGAAGGCGTTTGATTTGCTCAAGGTCACATGTTGAGTCAGCGGATACCTGCCGGTGAGATCAGGTTCCCAGGCTCCCAGCTTAGGACCCTGACTGCATGGAGAGGAGACTGGGAGTGCGGTAAAGACTGATAGTGTTACATTCGTATTGTCCGTTGAACCCTTTCATTAAGGTAATATAGGGATCTGGAGAGAGGTAGAGGCTTGTCCGAGGTCACACGGTTGATTAGAGTTTATCTGACCGAAACCAGAGTTCCTAAGGCTTCAGCTTCCAGAAAGTAAAATCTGGAGATAAAGGGGTGTAGCTTAGTGGAAAAGAACTTACTTAGTATGCACAGGCCTTGAGTTCCATCCCCAGCACTGAGGAGGAAAAGTGTGGTAGGGTTATGGCTGTTAAAGTAGGTCTAGTGAGTGCCTAGTTCCAGGTAGAAGGGTGAAGGTAAAATGGAGAGGTGGTCTGAGAGTTTGGTGCTGTAGGAAGGCAGTTCTGAAAGGAAGCCAAACATTACAGGCTCAAGTTCTCTGCTTTCTGTCTCATTTTAAGTCCACTCCCCTAAGTTCTTCTTCATCTTCACATGGGCAGCAGCATCCTCTAACTAGCATTTACTGCTTCTAGCCTTGGAACTCT